TATCTATCTATCTATCTATCTATCTATCTATCTATCTATCTATCTATCTATCTATTGCTTTTTACTTTTTCAGTTGTTCAAAACAGTCTTATATAGCTGGGACTGGACTTGAATTTGTTATGTAGCCAAAGATGACTTCCTAGCTGGGCACAGTGGTGCATACCTGTAATCCCAGCATTCAGGGAGGCAGAGGCAGGAGAATTGTAGTGAGTTCAAGGCCAGCCTGGTCTGCAAAGCAAGTCCAGGTCAGCCAGAGAAACTCTGTCTTGAAAAACAAACAAAGCAAAGATGACTTCCTGATCATATTGCCCCCACCCCCCACCCCTGGGAGGAGCAGCCTTACTAGGCCACAGGTAAGGACACTGTAGCCAGTCCTGAAGATACCTGATAAGCTAGGGTCAGATGGAAGGAGAGGAGGACCTCCCCTATCAGTGGACTCGGAAGGGGGCAGGAAGGAGATGAGGGAGGGAAGGGAGGATTGGGAGGGAAAAAGGGAGGAGACTACAGCTGGGATACAAGTGAATGACTTGTGATTAAAATAAAAAAATAAATAAATTTTAAAAAATGGTAACTGTTAGCAGTGTGGGCCTTGGCCTATGAAGTGTATGGACTCAGAGAGCCGCCTTGCAACTATCCTCCCATTTTATCCTCAGAAGTTGTTCTCAGAGCAGATAGGGGCCTAATTGCTGAAGAGAGAGAGGCCTCAAAAGACCAACTGGTTTCTGTGAGGGCAAACTGCTTTCTGATGTTGTTGTTGTTGTTGTTTTTGTTTTGTTTTGTATTTTTTTTTTTGAGACAGGTTTCTCTGTGTAGCTTTGGCTGTCCTGGACCTTGCTCTAGGACCAGGCTGGCCTTGAACAGAACCAAGTATCAGTACAGTTTTTCTGCCTGTGCAGGGATCACTTTAGCCCCTCTTTTTAAAGGAGAAGCACTAACGTCCAAAGTCATCTGCCCAGGCTCTAGACTGGATTACTTGAGTATTTTACTTTTTAGAACCTATTGTTTCATTAAAAGCCCAGAAGAAAAAAATTAATAACAAAATAAATAAAGGCCACAAGAAAAAGCTGCTTTAAGGTTGACACAAACCTCTGGAAGTAGCTTGTGGCACACACTTGAATTATTTGGGGGTTCCTGTGTACTGAGGATGTGCTTTTTTTCATGCTGGTAGTTTTGTTTTGTTGGGTGACAGGGTCTCATGTAGCCCAGCTGGCCTTGAACTCACTATATAGCTGAGGATGACTTTAAACTCCTGATTGTCCTGCTTTTGTCTTCCAAGTGCTAGGGTTACAGGCATATGTTACCATTACTTAGCCATATTAGTTTTTTTTGTTTTGTTTTGTTTTTTTGCATAAGATAGTACTCCGCTTCTCATAGCCGCTGCTGAATAAATTAGAAAAAATTATGAATTTCACAATTCATCATTTTGTGAATTTCACAATTCACAATTCATGGTTTCTGTTGAGTTTGAACTTCTGATACATTCAGTCATCGCTGTGCTGATAACTAATGTTTCTTCTCTTATAGGTAGAATCGGGCTGATTGCTGAAGCTTTTTTATCAGCCCAGGGAAATAGTTACCTTTTGACTTTTTACTTACAATGGCTTCCATTCACAAATTACTGACTGGTACTTATATTCATAGAAAGTTCCTGAAGCCAAGGACTGCATTGCACCCATTTGTGGGTGTTCGCTTTGTAGGCTATTCTTCCAGTAATCTTCAGAAACAAGTGGCTCCTGCCGACAGCGCTTCCCAGCAGAGAAAGACTGAAGAGGGTGTTCAAGGACATCACCACAAAGAGGTTGCTGTGGATATAACTTCTTCTGACAAGAAACCTGAACTTAGTTTTGAAAAAGCAATTAGAGAGGAAATAGTGGGACATTTTAGGCGTTTGAAGGATGAAATTGTGGCTCATTTGATAGGTCCAGAAGGCCGCCCACTACAGGAGGTCATAATGGAACAAGCCAAGGTTGTCTGGAAGTTTCGTGGAAAAGAAGATTTGGATAAGTGGATAGTGACGTCTGATAAGACAATTGGAGGCAGAAGTGAAATATTCTTGAAAATGAGCAAGAACAACCAAAGTGCCCTCCTTTATGGAACTCTGAGCTCTGAGGCACCTCAAGATGGGGACAGTAGCCAAAGTGGATACTGTGCGATGATATCCAGGATTCCAAGGGTAGGTGAGACATAAAAGCATTTTCTAGTGATGTTAATTGCAGCATGAACTGTAACAGCTTGCCTCTGTAAATGAACACATCTGTTTTGTTATATACAGGTATCTTGCCACCAAATAGGGACCAATCACTACTTGGCCTGAGTGTAAAAGGGGGCGGTATTTCCTTGTTCCTGGGCATTGTTTTGGATGTAAGAAGAATGGTGTGTGTCTGAGAATCCTAAGAAGATAGTCTTTGAAAACTATCTGGGGAGATTTGCATCTCCAGCTTAGACTGAAGTACTGTCACCCTCTGGCCTTTGTTTTTGGTTTTGAAACAGGGCTTCATGCAGCTCAGGCTGGCCTTGAGCTAACTGTAGCTGAGGATGACCTTGAGCTCGTGATACTCCTGCCTTGACCTAAATACTGGGGTTAAAGGGGTGTGCCATCATGTCTGGTATTAATATTTGATATTACTATGCTGAGGGCTGGGGGGGGTGGCTCAGTCGTGCAAGCATGAGGACTTGTATTTGGATCTCTGATACACATGTAAAAAGCTGGGTATCATGCACTTACAAATAAACGACTGCATATGTATGTTTAATGACCAAGTATACATATCTGTTGTTATTTTACTGTATCTATGTTATACACGTGGATACATACTACTGCTTCTGACTCTAGTACCATATGATCAATCTAGCCCTTTTTTTTTTGTTGTTTTTTGTTTTTTGTTTTCAAGACAGGGTTTTCTGGATAGCCCTTGATACTGGCTGTCCTGGACTCGCTTTGTAGACCAGGCTGGCCTTGAGCTCACAGAGATGCTCCTGCCCTGCCTCCCTGAGTGCTGGGATTACAGGCCTGTGCCACTGCGCCCAGCCTTTCATCTCTTCTCTATAACTTCCCTCTGTCACAGTGAGAAATCTTTATCCTATTACCATCCACTTGTCCAACTCCAGTAAATATAAATGCAGTTTTAGAACTTTTATAGTTGTGCTTCCCGGATTGGTCTGGAGCTCCTGAGTTAAGTGATCCAACAGCTCCTGCCTCCTAAGCAGATGGGATTGCAGGCATGCTCCACTGTGCTTCGTGTCCATTCTGCACTGGGAATCAGACCCAGGGCCCACAGTGTTCTCTGCAAGGGTCAGACACTTAGCTATACCCCAGCCCCAGCTTCAGAATTCTTAACCCCAAACCCCGGTAGAAATCACATGTTAGAGAGCAGTGCGCAAGATGGGCCTAGTGATGCAGGCTTATAATCCCAGAGGTGTGGGAGGTAGAAGCAAGAGTTTTGCCAATTCAAGGCCTGCCTAGGCTACTGAGTGCTCTTGGGGCTCACTGTTTTTCTAGACTGGCTGGCCACTGAGCCCCTGCGGTCTGCCTCTTTCCGACATCCCCTCTTCTCCAGTGCAGAAGTTACAGGTGTATGCTGGGGATCTGAACTCAGGTCTTTATGCTTTTCCAGCTCTTGTGGGGTCCACTTAAACCCAACATAACTCAAACACCATGTCAATGCACATGACAAAAATTGATTGCAATCAAGCTGCTGCTGATTGATCAGGGCCGCAGAACAGACTAGGGAGCTGAACTTAGCTTTTTTTAAAATTTTATTTTATGTAGATGAGGGTTCTATCTGCATGTATGCCAGAAGAGATCATCAGATTCCAGTGTAGATGGTTGTGAGCCACCATGTTGTTGCTGGGAATTGAACTCAGGACCTCTGGAAGAGCAACCTCTGAGCCATCCTTCTAGCTTCTGAACTGTGAAGGGGCACTATACAGCATATTTAAAGGATGAAACCATAAAGCGAAGAGGGGTGGTGAGCTGTAGCATTGTCCAATCGTATTTTGACATAAGGGGATGAGCAAGGGAGTTTCCATCAATTAGGAGTTGGTTCCTGGGCCTGGAAACATGATCTGTCTCCTGGGAACATAAAATTGTCCCTGAACTATCTGGACTAGGACAACTGTTTCCATACAACAGAATCTGTTCAGCTATTGTGAAGTCCCCAGATCCCCTAGCGCCTGGCACTTTGAACTTAGTTTCTCCTTATGATTAAATGGAATCTGAAAAGTGGTGGTACTTAGAAAATTTTTCTTTTACTTGTTCCCAACAGCAACAAGCCATCTTTTAACCCTCATGATTTTTAAAACTTGCCCTTGATTTTTGATGGGGCATGACAGTTGTCATAAGATGGACCACACAGAAGCCATTGTTCCTTAGAACCAGAAAGGAAAAGTACATTAATTTCCACTTGGCAAACACTGTTCTAGGATAATCATGCCTTGAACATTACGTTAGAAACGTATGTCAGTATTTTGTACTAAAATAATGATGGCCAGGTTTATTTGCCTCCTTGTAGAAAATATACATAGAATGCCATATGGGTCGCCAAGATGGCTCAGTGGGAAAGGCACTTGCTCCTAAACCTCTGAAACCCACATGGAGAAGGGAAAGCTTCACTACAAAAGATGTCCTCTGGCGTCCATATGCGTCCCCTCCCCCCCAGTAATAAACAATACTCCCATCTTGGTATGATTCATCTTTTTCTAACAGTAGAGAATGAGCTAAACTTGCCTTGCTGTCCCTTAGGGTGCCTTTGAAAGGAGGCTGTCTTACGATTGGTCCCAGTTCAATACGCTATATCTCCGGGTCCGTGGGGACGGCCGGCCTTGGATGGTGAATATCAAACAAGACACAGAGTATATCCAGAGGAAAAATCAGATGTACAGTTACTTCATGTTCACCCGTGGTGGGCCCTACTGGCAGGAAGTCAAGGTAAAATTTCAACTCTTCAATGTTATGAAAATGGGAGCTATTGAAATTATGGTTACATTATAGTTTACTTTTTCATACTAATAACTCATATAAAATAGAAGCAGAATGAGTAAAAGTAGGAGGACCTTGGGGGGAGACTTAAAAGACAAATTACTTTTTTTTCTTTTTCCACTAATAAAAATGAGCCAGGCATGGAAGCACATACTTTTAATTTCAGCACTTTGGAGGCAAAGGCAGGCAGATCTCTGTGAGTTTGAGGCCACCTTGGCCTATATATGAGTTCCAGGACAGTCGGGTATATATATAGACCCTAATTTTAAATTAATTTATGTAGAGAAATGTGTCCTAGTTTGGGTTACTATTACTGTGATGAAATAACTGTGACCAGAAGCAAGTTGAGAGATAAGGGTTTCTTTCACTCACCTTCCATATAATAGTTCATCATCAAAAGTAGTGAGGGACTCAAGTAGGGCAGGAACCTGGAGGCAGGAGCTGGTGCAGAGGCCATGGAGGGGTGCTGTTTACTGGCTTGCTCCTCATGGCTTGCTCAGCCTGCTTTCCTATAGAACCCGGGACCACCAGCCCAGGGGTGTCCCCATCCACAATGGGCTGGGCCCTCCCATCAGTCACTAGTTAAGAATATATTTCAGAAGAGCTGGGTGTGGTGGTGAAGGCCTTTAATCCCAGCACTTGGAGTCATGGAGTCAAAGGCAGGCAGATCTCTGTGAGTTCAAGGCCAACCTGGTCTATAGTTCAATACTATAGCCTGGTTTTGTGGAGGCATTTTCTGAGTTGAGGTTTCCTCCTCTCTGATGACTACAGTTTGTGTCAGGTTGGCATAAAACTAGTCAATATAGTATGTTCGCTTACTAACCAATACATTAGTATGTAAGTGAGGAGAGGGACGTGTGAACGTTTGGCAAGTAGGTGCTCTACCACTGAGCTGCATCCTGCCTCAGTAAAAAAAAAAAAATCAGTCTTCAGATTTTTCTTTTTTCCTGTGATACAAGTAACCAGCAAACTCCCACCTTCACCCGGTACAAGGGTTGAGCCAGGGCTTCTGGCTCGCTATGAGAGTACTTCACCGCCTAGCCCTTTAGTTTTTATTTTGAGGAAGTTGCTTGTGCTGGCCTGGAATTATTATCTTCTTCCTTTACTCTCTCAAGTAGCTAGGATTCACAGGCCTATTAGCTCTGTGTATGTGTTTGTGTGCACACACACAAACACGCATACACACACTTGTTGCTTATCTTGTCTATGGTAAAGTGGTAAATTCAGTAGTTCAAGACTAGAGTGAGCAACTGTCCAAAGAACTAGCTATTTCTTATACCTGGATTTTTTGACTTATTAACTTACCTACTTATTGAAATGTGAACAACAGTGTTTCTTACTCTAGCCTTGAACTAATAATGAATTTAGGTGATTTTTCTGCCTTAGTTCCTGAGTAGCTGGGAGTATAGCTTTAGCATATGTAAAATATTTAGAGATGGAATTGAAATATTTCTTTATCATTATGGTTCCAACAAATGCCTCAAATCCTCATGTTGCAGCTCTAAAATAACTCCTTTTTTTTTTTTTTTTTTCCAGATTCCTTTCTCAAAATTTTTCTTCTCAAATCAAGGAAGGGTACGAGATACCCAGCACCCACTTGTTCTGGACAAGGTAATGTTTTCCACTCAGAATAATGCCTTCTTTAGTGAACTCCAGTTGCTTTGAGGGCTGGCAAAGATGGTAGATGAAATATTAAAATTCCTACTCAGGCTCCTCTATTAGGACAGAAGCCAACTTGGGCCTCTGTCCTGGGGGATGTTAGTGTAATTCTGTTTTCAGCATGCTTCATTTTAGTTTAGCTATACAGTAAGAGTTCAGAAGAACCTCAAGGAGCTCCATTAAGAGTTGATGCTAGGGCTGGAGAGATAGCTCAGAGGTTAAGAGCACTGTCGGCTCTTCCAGAGCTTCTGAAATCAGTCCCCAGCTGCCACATGGTGGCTCATAACCATCTATATTGGGATCTGATGCCCTCTTCTGGCATGTGAGTGACCTACAGATAGAGCATTCATATATGTAAAATAAATAATTCTTTAAAAAACAAAGAGTTCATGCTGTACTTACTCTCTTAAGGGGTACTCAAAGGGGAGGAAAGGAAGGACAAGATGGGGGTGGAGAGAAGTCATTCAAGTACGCTAGGTCACTCCTTAAGTCCCAGCACTGGAGGGTGAAGGAGGAGGGTCTCAGGAGTTCAAGGCCAGCCGTGGCCATATGACAAGTTCAGGGCCAGCTTGGGCTATATGCAACCCTGTCTAAAAGAAAGGAGGAGGAGAAAAAAGCAGTCTTGCTGGGCGCGGTGGTGCATGCTTGTAATCCCAGCACTCAGGGAGACAGAGGCAGGTGGATCTCTGTGCTAGCCTAGTCTACAAAGTAAGTCCAGGACAGCCAAGGCTACACAGACAAGCCCTGTCTTGAAAAACAAAACAAAACGTAAAAGAAAGCAGTCTTATATTTGTGCTTATAACTTAGTACAGCAAGTGAAAAGTATAACACACTGAGGGCTGGTGGTGTGAAGACGCCACCAGTGATTTGCTGGAGGCGTTTGGAGACTTCAGGAAAACATTCCTACATCAGTGTGTGAGACTCTAATCCATCTCTCTTGTTTTATATTTAGATCTCTTCTATAGGATTCACCCTGGCTGACAAGGTGGATGGACCATTCTTTCTGGAAATAGATTTTATTGGTGTGTTTACTGATCCAGCCCATACAGAAGAATTTGCTTATGAGAATTCTCCTCTTTTACAAAGACTTTCCAGATAGAGAACTGAACTGGGGACAGATTTGAGTAAACTAAGTAGAGTGGTGATCACAAAATATAGACCAAGTAAAGCCTTTCTCTCTACCACCTCCCTCCAGCCTTTTTCTGCTGTGCTGAGAGCTGAAATGGAGTGCAGGGCCTCATGTATGCTAGACAAATAGGAGCTATGCGCCTGTCCCCAAATGAGCATTTGTTTAATGGTAATGAATGTTGCTATATATCCCTTAATGTTAAATGCTGTTGCTTAGAGAGAGAAGGTCAGTGGGAACCCACATGAAACCAGAGCTGAGCTTTAGCTAACAGAGCCACAATGTAAGGAACACGTTTGCCAGGTAAGTTGCTACAGGAGCATGTCCTATGTAAGGAGACAGTTTTCAAATTGGTGTCTTTGGGGCAACTGTGGTTGATCGTTGATCGTATACCACTCCACCCTTCTGTTTCCTGACTGGCCTTTGAGGAAAGGAGCCTGCTAAATAGTGTGAAGATAACTATGCCATGGAAGTCACTGGGAAATGGGATACCTATGTAGAGAGCTTGCCTTCCAACGACATCTGCTTAGTAGTTATTTCATCTTACATACCTGTTGCTGATGGGAGAGAGACTATGGTTGCTGACGAGCCCCATTCATTAAAAAAATGTCACAGAGGGGCTGCAGAGATGGCTCCACAGAGTTCCCAGGTTCCATTCCCAGCACCTGCATGGCACCCCAGAAGTGTCTCTTCCAGGGGATCTGATGGTCTCTTCTGGCCTTCATGGTCTCCAGTCTCACCTGTGATGCACAGACATACAGGCACTCAAAACACCCATATGTATTAAATGAAAGGCATTTAAAGGCTTGTTTTTATTTTATGTGCATTGCTGTTTTCCCTGCTTGTATTGTCTGTGCACCATGTCTGTGCAGGTCCATAAAAGCCAGAAGAGGGTGCTGGATCCCTTGGAGCTGGAATTACAGACAGTTGTGAGATAGAACAGCACCCTAGGAGACAAAATTTCAAATAAGATATTCAAGGAAAGAACATTTTTAGCATCTTGCCCAGTATCCATTTAATATATTTGCATGTTATTACTCTTAAATTTTTGACAGTTTTATTTAGGTATAATTCATGCAATATAAAATTAGCCTATCTATGTATAATTCAGTGGTTATTCTTTAATACATGTGTGCATGGGTATTTGTGTAGTCTTATGTGTATGAGTGCACATGCATGTGTACGTGCTTGTAGTGATCAGAGGACAGCCTCGGGTGTCATCCTCAGGAATGCCATCCACCTACCTTGAGACAGGGTCCCTCACTGGCCTAAAACTCACTAATTAGGTAGGCTGTCTGGTTAGCAGGCTTCAGGATCTGCATTCATGTGTGCCTGCAACACATACTTTTATCACACACACACACACACACACACACACACACACACACACACACACAACCTGTAACTCCAGTGTCCTCTTATGGATTCTGCAGGTACTTGTACTCACATGTACTCAAACACAGATACACATAATTAAAATTAAATCCTTAATAAAGGTGGGGGTGGGGGCTTAGAACCAGGCCTGGAGGTCAGTCCATAATCCTAACTACTTGTGAAACTGAGGCAGAAGTTTAACAAGTGTAAGACCAGCCCGAGCCATAGGATGAATTCAAGGCCAGCCTAGTCCTCTTAATGAGACCCTGTCTCAAAACAGGCAGTAGAGGGCTTGGGGTGTAGTTAGTGCTGGAATGCTTGTTGAGTGTGCGCAGCGCAGGGCTTATTTTTCCAAAGGTGCCAAAGCAAAACAGCAGCTGTACCATTACCCATGGTCTACAGGTCTTCAGTTTCCCCATTTTCTCACCAGTCTGTGTGTGTGTGTGTGTGTGTGTGTGTGTGTGAATGTGGTATGGGTGCACACGACATGCATGTGGAGCTCAGGTGACAACCTCAGATATTTTTGCTGGTTTATTTGCTTGGTTTGGTTTTGGCTTTTCGAGACAGGGTTTCTACTGCAGGGCTTTCTGGAACCCGCTTGCAGTTTAAATAAGACACGAGACTTCTATATAGTTTAAAGCTTTAGATCTTTTGCTGGGGCAGTCTCTCAGCTAGCTTCTAACTTAATGAAACTTCCCAGCACTGTGTCCCTGCCTCGTGGCTAGCTAGCTCTTTCCCCCCTCTTTTGTTCCAATCTCCCAAGTCTCCCTTTTCCCAGAAGTTCTTCCCGGGTACTTCCTGCTCCAGCTCTTGGCTGTCAGCTCTTTATTATAACCAATCAGCAGTAAAACAACACCGGATCCATCTCTGGGTTTCTTAAGTCACTGAGGGCCGCCTGACCCTTCATCTTTTGGGCAGGTATGGAAGGACAAGCATTTACCAAGAAAACCTGGTGATGGGCCATAACCAAAACTTAGCTCTCTTGCCAGTATAGTAATCAAGAACTGAAAATACAGAGGCACACCACCTCAATGAGAAGGAACCCCAATAGGTTCCTCCATGTAGCCCTGGCTGTCCTAGAACTCACAGAGATCTGCCTGCTTCTACGTCCTGTGTGTCACCATTGCCTGGCAACAACCTTAGATGTTAATTCTCAACTTTGACATTGTTTAGGGAAGGCTCTCAGTTTGACACCATGTATGCGAGGCTAGCTCTCGTTGCCTCCCATATTACTGTGTGCACGCTGGAGTTACAGGTGTGTGCCAGAGTACTCGAGTCTTCATCCACATACAGCAAGGACTTGACCCCGATGCACCACCTCCTTCCTTCAGTTGATACTTTGCTACAGGGTCTTACTATGTGGCCCAGGCTGGCCTTGAATTTGCAGCAGTCATTTTGCCTCTGCCTCCCCAGTATGCTCTCAGGCGCTGGGATTACTGTTGAATACTTCTGTCCATGACTTCCTACTGTTTTCATTCTGGTAAAATGTTTTGGTGGCACTGACTAAGCAAGTGTAAATGTTGTGTCACCAAGCTATATCTCAAGACCCAAATTTTACATTTGAATCTATTTTGGGGCTGGTGCCTGAATTTAGGGTCTTTTGCACCAAGGCAAGCACTACCTGAATTACATCCTCAGCTCAGCTGTTCGTGTTTTAAGTCAGGATTTTGACATGAAGCCAAGGCTGCCTTTGAACTTGTGACCTTGCTGGAGCCTCTTGAGTGAGGCTGGGATTACAGACCTGTCAACTTCAGCATCCATCTTAAAGTTTCTTTCTTTAGCCAGGCAGTGGTGGCACATGCCTTTAGTTTCAGCACTTGGGAGCAAAAGCAGGCAGATCTCTGAGAGTTCCAGACCAGCCAGAGTTATAGAGCAGTCCACTGTCTAAATAAATAATTAATTTTATTACACTGACTTGTTTATGAACACATGTGGAGGTCAGAGGACAGGTTAAAAAAAAAGTTTAAAAAAAAATTCAGAGCTCCTTCCACCAGAAGGGCTGAGATAGCTATGGAAAATTCTGTAAATTTATGTACATTTAGCTGAAAACTATGAGGTGGATCTAGAACTAGTAATGAGGTTATACTGTGGTGCTTTTTTGATGTCCTATCTAAGAAATCAATTCAGCTAAGATCACTCATTTTTATATAAATGTTTATATTGTGAAAAGGAACCAACTAAAGCCATTTTAAATAAAACTTCAATTTTTGAAGAGGGATCAAATGATGTTTAAGTTGCCAAGGCCTCCCTGGGTGACTGACATCCTGGTTAGCAAGTTGAGACATGAATGCTAGGCCAAGTCTCTCCCCCTCACAACCCCAGTTGAATAACCCAACCAATGGGAGCATCATAAGTGTACCACAAAGACATGTTCCTAAGGAACACCCCTATCCCTAAATACTGATTGGTAAGATCACTTGGCCCAGATATTTCTGGTTTTGAAACTTTAAAACTAACATTCTGGCTTGGAGTCTGGCTTCTGAGTCTGTTCTGAGATCCTGACCAATCGAGATCAGTAGCAGCCTGAGTACAATGAATTTTGTCATCTGCTTAAATAATAAGATGAAGAGTTTAAAGATGCAATCAGCTCTGGAGTCTGTGCTATTGTCCCTGACTAGTTGGTTTTGCTGCCTAATTCAGAGATCTTGCTTTGCTGGACTCTTTTTGACTGTTTGGGTTTTCCTGGATTTTGGGATCCTAAAAATTCAAAGATTTACTCTTGCCCAGGGGTGATGCCAGTACATGCCATTAATCCCAGCACACTGGAAGAAAAGGCAAATGATCTCTGAGTTTGAGGCCAGCCTGGTCTACAGAGTAAGTTCCAGGACAGCCAGGACTAGAGAAAAACCCTGTCTCAAAAAAAGTAATCAGTTAATAGATCAATTTTGAATGTCATTTAAATCTCTTATTAGATATTAAATATTTAGATGTTTACTTTCAGCAATACTTTACTTTTTCTGTGTATAAATCTTTGATATAGTTTGAATAGGAAATGTCTTTCATAAGGCCAATATGCCAAAGGTTTGATTCTTGCCTGAGGTGATATTAGGATGTGATAAAATGTTTAGGAATTAAAGCATTGCTTTTGTTTTGAGACAGGGTCTCATCCTATAGCTTTGGCTGGCCTGGTGTTAACTGTGTAGATCAGAGTGGCCTTGAACTCACAGCAGTCCTGCCTCTTTGTTCCAAGTGCTGGGATTAAAGGAATGAGGCACCTTGGTGGCTTGAGTGAGAATGGATCCAATAGGTTCGTTTATTTGATTACTTGGTACCCAGTTGGTGGAACTGTTTGGGAAGAATTGGGAGGTGTGGCTTTGTTGAGGTGTGTCACTGGCTTTGTTGAGGTGTGTCACCCCACACCATTCAGTGCTCAGGTCATCAGTTGCTCTCTCTCTGCCCACCGTGGTTGAGGATCCAAGTAAGCTCTCAACTATTGCACCAGCACCATGCCACTGTACATCCCTGCCATGGTGCCAGTGGACGCTGACTCCTGGAATGGTGAGCCCCAAATTAAACACTCTAAGTAGCCTTGGTGAGTGTTTTGTCACAGTAATTGAAAAGTAATTAAGCCATCACCACACCCAGCTAGTTTTATTTTTTAAGATTGAATTTTAAAACTTGTGTGTTGGCTGGGGGCAGTGGGGAGGGCTGTATGCCCATGAATGCTGGTGCCTGTGAAGGCCAGAAAAGGGTGTGGGAACCCTTTAGCCATTACCTGCAGTTTTGAGTTGCCTGACTTGGGTGCAAAAAAATTGGAATTTGAGTCCTTTGCAAGACTAGTACATTCCAGGAGCAGTGGCACACACCTGTAAACCCAGCACTCTGGGAGGCAAAGGCAGGTCGATCTCTGAGTTTGAGGCTAGCCTGGTCTACAAAGTGAGTCCAGGACAGCCAAGGCTACACAGAGAAACCCTGTCTTAAAAAAACAAAAATAATACATGCCTGCTGGGCATGGAGATGCACACCTCAAAGAGAGTCAGTCCCAAGGTAGCCCGGACTACACAGAAACTGTCTGGAAAAATCAAAACAACCAAAACAGTAGTATATGCCCTTGACCACTGGGCCATCTCCCCAGCCTTAAATTGTTTTTCACTTATACTGGGAATCAAACCCAGGGCCTTATACATACAAGGCAAGGGCCCTTCCTCCAAGCCACACAACCTAGTCCTAGTTTTTTTGAAGCAGGGTTTCATGAATCTAAGTCAGCCATCTGATCCTCCTGCTTTTACTGCCTGAGGACTGGATTATAGGTTTATGCCACTGCGCTCAGCTCAGCTTTATTAATCTCTAATATATATAAATAAAACTGTTGGCTATTAACCTTGTTATCTTACTATTTCTGGTAGTGAGTTGTAAGACCTTGGATTTAAAATGCAATGACAAAGATAAAAACACTTCTTTATAGGCAGGTGTGGTGATACGCATCTAACTCAGCACTCAACAGGGAGGTAGAGGAAGAGGATTAAGAGTTCAAGGTTATCCTCAGATACAAAAAGAGTCTGAGGCCAGTTTGGACTACATGAGACCCTGTCTCAAGAAAAGTTTGTTGTGGGAGAGAAGTGGGTGAGGGGAGGTGTTAGTGCGTATTGATCTTTGATGGCCATCCAAATCCTGGGCAACCTATGTTTAAAAAGAATGAACCCACACAGTGAAAATATTTTTATTTATGAAAATCCTAAGCATTACACACAACTCAGAATCTCTACATGGCAAGCTGCTATGCTCAGCAGCCCCACTCACTCGATTCCTACTTGTAAGATTTGAGTCTGACAAAGATGGTAATCCTTATAGTAGCAATTCTGTTTTCTTTTTGGTGGTACCAGGGATCAAATTCAGAGCCTGGTGTGTGGCAAGGACAAGTGTTGTACAACAGAGGCACACCCTCAGCCCTGTGGCTTTTATTTAACAAGTAGAAAGAACAGAGGAATTCTATCTTAAGATTATAATGAGCGACAGTTGGCAATTACATGAAATGATTACCTTTATAAAATATTGATCCATAACCAAATCAATAAGACTTCAATAGATCATTAGACTTTCCAGACTAGTGAACAAAGTAGTTGTCTTCCAGCCTGCCTTTTCCTTGGAATTTTAGCTGACTAAGCTTCTGCTGAGGCTGGCTGCCAATAGAAATGCACTTGTACAGAAAAGGGTGCAGGTCACCTCCATTAGAACTAGCAGGACCTTGCATGAAAAACCTGTTAAGAGCCTAGGACAGTCTCTTAGAAAGCAGACTTGTTTGGACATTGTATGAGAACCACTTCAGGTAGGAACTTGAAGGTGATAATACAGTCTCAGGGCACAGAAGAGAAAACACTACACAAATTACGATCAAAAGTTATGATACAAAAGAGCTTGACTAAAGTAGAGGAAGAGTATGAAAGCAACCACAAACGAAAAGAAGTTGAGAGTACAAAAACAGACAGGATCACTGGGCTTTAGTCACAACCAGGTTTCTTCGGGCTTCCAAAACCTTTGCTCTCCTCTCCTTTTGTTCTTGCTCATGTTTCTTCCGTTGCTCTTCCCTAAGAGGGACAAACAGGTTGCATGTTAGGCTAGACTTCGATGCTGACCTAGATAGTTAAATGGCATCTAGCACATGCGTGCAGCAGACATCTCCAGGCCACTGGCCTACAGGTTTCAGCACTCGTCAGCATTGTCTGCAAAGCTTGTTAACTCAGTATTCTTCCTTCCCCCCAACCCACCCCAGCACATCCAGTCACATCAGGACGGTGTACTTCGAGGGTCACTTTTTTTTTTTTAAATTATTTTTTAAGGCTTTATTTATTATGTATACAATGTTCTGTCTGCATTTACACCTGCACACGGGAAGAGGTTATCAGATTCCATTACAGAGGGTTGTGAGCCACCATGTGGTTGCTGGGAATTGAACTCAGGACCTCTGGAAGTACAGCCAGTGCTCTTAACCTCTGAGCCATCTCTCCAGCCCCTTAACTCAGTATTCTAAAGTTACAAATGAAACAAGAACCAGAGGACACCTTGGTGACTGAATTCAGTGCCAGTACTTAAAAAAATAGTTCCAAATGAGAAGTCTTACTCCTAGAAGTCAAACATGTAATCAGGCTACAGTATTAGAACTAAGGTCCACTGACTAGAGACAAGGAAAAAGAAAGTCCAGGTTCGCATTATCCCATGGATAGTAAAAGGTCTTGGTGGAAATGGATCCAAGCAAGATGCAGCTGATAGGTAACCTTTATCAGGAGAGTCCCAGGCAGTAAATCGGACTCCTTTGAGAGCCATGCTTGCCTTGGATCTGTGCGAGGCTTCACTCCTTACATGTGGGTTTTCTTGGGAGTGAAGAGTTTACACCTGCTCATACTTGAGCACTGGTGTCTGCAGGGATAATGTGCTGTTGGGGAGACAAGTCCCATAAGAGCATGCTCTGAATAACCTAGGAAGGCCTGGGAAGCAGGATGTGGTGTGCATTGCAAACCTAATTTGTAATCTATTTTGCTAGAGCCAAAAATACTTAATATTTACATTTCAAGATAGGCTGTCATGTCTGGATAGTGGTGATACACACCTTTTCACCAGCACTCAGGTGGCAGAGACAGGTGAATCTCAGTTTGAGGCTAGCCTGATCTACAGAATGAGTTCCAGACCAGCCAGAGCTATACAGAGAAACCCTGTCTCAAAACACAAAATCAAAACAAAAAGGCTATCATGTCTCAAAAAAAAAAAAAAAAAAAAAAAAAAAAAAAAAAAAAAAAAAAAAAAAAAAAAAAGGCTATCATGTACTCTAGGTCCCCAACTCACTTTTAAAGAAAGTTCTAGAGGTGACTGGTTTTGTTTTGTTTTCTTTCTTTTTCTTTCTTTCTTTTTTTTTTTTTCTTTTTGAGACAGTTTCTCTGTATAGCCTTGACTGCCCTGGACTCACTTTGTAGACCAGGCTGGCCTCAAACTCACAGAGATCCACCCGCCTCTGCCTCCCAGAGTGGGATCACAGGCTTCATGTGAATGATTTTAAAGGTGACTGATCTGCTATGGCTTGAAAATTGTTTATCCACGTTTGGTCCCCAATGTAACAGAGGTGGTGAAATCTTCCAGAGGTGGGGCTTAGAGGAAAGTAAAATAAAATAAAATTAATCCTTGGGATTAATGCAGGAATGAACTAGCTATTCAGGGAGGAGGCTGTTAAACAGATAGCCAAACATTGCCTAACCTTCACACATTCTTCCTTACTCTCAAAATGCACCCATGTTATTTGCTATCTAGAGCATAAGGCTCTATCAGTACCTTGGATTTCCAGAAATGCAAGTCAAAATAAACTTTGTTCTCTCTAGAATATCTAGCCTCAAGCATTTTGTTATAGCAATACAATATGGAACGGAACATTCTACTTCTAACACTATTTTGAAATGCTATCCCTCACATGCTTTGGTGTGCTGTCTTTTGAAATTAGAAGACTTACAACATGAGATAATTATGTACTCACCTGTTGTGGAGATGAGGTTGTTTATACGTTTTCCTGTGGAAGCTAACTCTGTTTACACATTCATTCAGATTGTTATTCTCTTTAGATTGCCCCCAAGGTTTCAGCTTTCCTAGGTTAGGAAGAGGGGTGTTAAGATGCTTTTATTCACAACTACATCATTGTCTCCATCTTTTTGGCTACATATCAGCATTTTCACTCTGTTTTGTAGATATTTACATATATTTTCTGCAGCATGTTTTGATTTCACATTCCAGATATAAACCGTATTTTTTCTCTAAAAATAAAAATGTTTCTTCATAAAAAGTTTTTCTTATGACTGTATGTATATGAACGTGAGTTCCCACGTCAGAGGACAACTTTGGAGGGCTGGTTCTTTCTCCCCCACAAGGGTTCTAAGAACAACTCAAGACTGTGAGGTGTGTGCAGCAAGCACTGATGTACTCAGCACCTCACCAGCCTGCATCATGCATGCTCTTTAGTACAAAGACTTTTTTTTTTTTTATTTACTTGTGTGCATGTGCCATGGCATGTGTGAGGTCCACAGATGACTTGCTGCAGCTGATTCTCATTATACCATGTGGGTCCCAGGAATCACAAACTCAGCCTGTCAGATTTGATGGCAAGTAGCTTTACCTACTGAGTCATCTCACTGGCCCTAGTGTCATCTTTTTTTGGGGGAGGTGGGGTGGAAACAGGGTTTCTCTGTGTAGCCCTAGCTATCCTGGAACTCACTCTGTATGCCAGGTTGGTTTTGAACTCAGAGAGAGCCCTGCCTCTGCTTCCAGAGTGCTGGGATTAAAGGCATGCATCACCACAGCCATGTTCTCTCTCTCTGTCTCTCTCTCTCTGTTAAATCTAAGGAAGTCATGGGGGGGAAAAAAACCTCAATACAGAGGCTAGGGAGATGGCTCAGTGGTTAAGAGTGTATTGTGTCCACAGAATACCCAAGTTCAGTTTTCAACCCCCCATGTCATCTGGCTCATGCCACCTATAACTCCTGTTCCAGGTGACTGGACACCTTCTGACCTCCCTGGGTTAGTGCATTTACATGCCCACAGACAGTATACATAATTTTAAAAAAATCTAAACAACAAAAGTATTCTAATCAAAAAATCTGTTACTATTAATCTAATTATACAAAATAAAGGAATTACAATCAAATAATTTATCTTAAAATTATATAAGTATGGGCTGGAGAGATGGCTCAGTGGGTAAGAGCACTGGCTCCTCTTCTGAAGGTCCCAGGTTCAATTCCCAGCACCCACATGGCAGCTCACAACTGTCTGTAACTTTGGCTCCAGAGGACCTGACACCCTCACACAGACATGCATGCAGGCAGGCAAAATACCAACGCACATAAAATAAAAATAAATCTTTAAAAAATTGTACGAGTATTATGTTCACTATCAAAATTTTAGTTTTTAAAAAAGCATTTAATATTTTAAAGTTTTTGTTTGTTTTCTGTTTTTTGAGACAAGGTTTTGGTGTAGCCCTGCCTGCCCTGGAACTCACTCTGGAGACCAGGCAGTCCTTGAACTCAGAGATCCATCTGCCTCTGCTGAGGTTAAAAGCCTGCACCACCAGTGCCCAGCCTTAAAGAAATTTTTAATCTCATTTGTGTGTGTGTGTCCACCTGTGTGGGTGCAATTTGGAGGCCAGAATTGTCAGATCTCCTCAAATTGGAGTTAGAGATAGTTGTGAGATGTCCGATGTGGGTGCTGGGAATAGAACCTGGGTCGTTTGGAAGAGTAACACACATTCTTAACCACTGAGCAGCTCTCCAGCCCCAAGTCTTTGGTTTTAATTTGTGTGTGAACCTGCTGAGTCTATGTGTGCCATGTGCATGCAGGTGCACAGAGAGGCTAATAATAATAATAATGGCTGAACCCCTGGGAGTGGGAGGTGCAGGCCACTCTGAACTACCTGGTATGGGTACTGGGAACTCAACCTCAATTCTCTGCAAGAGTATTGAATACTGAGAAGTGCTGAGCCATTTCTCCAGCATCCTCAAGAGTTTTTCAGTGAGACTGTTAGATTAGGTTAAAATCTGCTATAAAATATGATGGCTACAGTTAGTGTATTTCATTGCTGGGCATGGTGGCTCACACTAGTAATTCCACACCTTGGGAGGCTGAAGGAAAAGAATGGCCATCAATTCAAGGGCACACTGGGATAAAGAGGGAGTTTCAGACTTGCCTGAGCTACACAAGGAGAACTAGTCTCAAAAACCACTCTCTGCTTCTAGCCAATGCAATGTTCCGGCCTGGCCTCCTTTCTGCTGCAGTGTCTTCCTGTCACATTAACTGTATTCACCTAAAACAACTGTGATAGAATGTGATGGGCCAGCCTCCTACTCTTGCCACATTGCCTCTGCCACCAAAATGAACTCTACCCATCTCCAAAATGTAAGACACAATAAACCCTGACTTGATTAAAGCATGCACCAGCACACCCAGCTAAGAAAAAATTTTTAATAAATAAAACAAAGATTCCATCATTCCGAAGTTCAAATTCACTTTTGGCTTTGTGCAAATTTGAGGACGCCTAGAACACTTTAAGCTCTGTCTCAGAACAAACAAAGGAGCAGAAACTGAAACAGTATTTCTATACCCTGATCCTAATAGCCAAAGATGAAAAGTACACACAGGCTAACCTTAAGCTGACACTGATCTGTTGACAAGTTACATTCTTGGTTAACAAATGTGTAAGCATATCAATTGTTTTTTTCCCAGTGGAAAATCTTTTAAGTCAGGGATTCTTGTGGAAGCAGGGGCAGAAATTTATATGGTAGGATTTCCTCCCAGTCACAGAATGTTTTTTTCTTGTTTTGCAGTGTTTACTTCACCACTATATATATATATATATATATATCTACTATATATATTCTCTCTCTCTCTTTATATATATATACACTCTCTCTATATATATATAAATATATATATATATCCACATACGTGCACACATACACCTCTAGCTTTTGACATCTTTTGATGCAGAACTGTTTAAAGTCTTGTACCAGCTTTGTCTTTCCAAACAATCCCACATACCTTTGTGTGGCTTGTAGTTGAGGGGGCGAGACAAGCTTGCTTTGAGATCAAATCCTGGCTTCTTACTAGAGCCTGGAGTCCGTGTTGCTTCAGTTGTCAACTTGAATGGGGTAATAACTAAAAAACAAACAAAAACTTAAACTAAAAAAATACCAAAAAACTTATTAAAACAAAGTATGAAGATTAAAATTTTATTTCTTAGGTTTGTTTTGTGTGTATGAGTATTCTGCCTGCAAGTATGTCTGTGTACCACATGCATGCCAGTGTCCAGGGATTTAAGAGGGCTATTGGATCTCATGAAGTGGAGTGACAGACAGTACGAGTTGTCTCATGGGTGCTGTCCTCTGAAAAGCAGCAAGTACTCTGAACTGCTGAGCCATCTCTCTAGCTGCCTAAAGTAGAGGGTTTTTTTTTTTTTTAAGATTTTTATTTATTTACACATACATACATACAGTATTCTGTCTGTATATGTGCCTGCAGGCCAGAAGAGGGTACCAGATCATATTATAGATGGTTATGAGCTACCATATGGTTGCTGGAAATTGAACTCAGGACCTTTGGAAGAGGAGCCGGTGCTCTTAACCGCTGAGCCATCTCTCCAGTCCCCCAAATTGAGTTTTTAATCAAAGAATCATTTTACCATTTAAAAAGATCTACATTATGGATGAAATTTTTTGTTCTCATCTTCTGTTCCATGGTAGAATAGAACGTTCACTTCCTGTGATGGAATTAATGCATTATGAGAATCCCTACAGTGCACACTAACTCAGTGTGCTTGAATAAGGGTGATGCCAGAAGAGGGCACCAGATCTCATTATAGATGGCTAGGAGCCACCATGCAGTTACTGGGATTGAACTCAGGACCTCTGGAAAAACAGTAGGTGCTCTTAACCTCTGAGCCATCTCTCCAGCCCTTCAAGAGTGGGCTTTGAAATATCAAAAGCCCACAGCAGCCCCAGACATTCTCTTCTCGCTGCCTGCTGATCAGAATGTAGAGCTCATCTCCTTTCCCAGAACCACACCTGCCTGCTGCCTTGCTCCCTTGCTACCATGGCCCCTGCAAGATGAAACTGTAAGCAAGTCCCCAGTTAAATGCTTTCTTTTATGAGGTGCCTTGGTCATGGTGTCCCTTCACAGCAATAGAATAGTTAGTGAGACACTAAGGTTGCTGTTTGAGCAAACAACTAGAAACCATCAGCTTGGTACTTGAAGGGCCTTTACTAGGTCTGAGTAGCACTAGAATCCTGATAAAGTCTCTAGAGCTAAGACATTTCTTTCATCAAAAGCCCTAGTCTTTGGCAGTGTATTACAGAAGCCCAAACAGGCTGAGTAAGCTCTGTGGAGGTTGTGATGCAGATGTGGGGCTAAAGAGCGGTAAGAGGGGTGGGACCAGCAGAGGAACACTAAATATTGAGATCTGTTCCCTAGCTGGCCACCCCTGAATATTCTGAATGGCACCACCTTTTCTAGGATCATCTGGAAACAGAGTCCCTGAAACAGCTGAGGGCAGGGGACAAGGCTCAGCAATAAAGGTGCTGGCAGAAGCCTAGCAGCCTGAATTTGATCCCTGGAAACCCACATGGGTCCAAGGATCTACAAGTTATGAGTTCCACATGTTGGCCTCTGACCTCTGGCGCACATGCATGTCTTACACATACATGGTCACCATCATCATGGGAGAGACAGGGCGCAACTGTAACTGCAGCACTTGAAAGGTGAAGGCAGGGAAGTCTGAAGCTCAAGCAGCGCCAGCCACACAAGCACCTGTCACAAAAAGCAAGTAAGAAGGTGAAAAGAGGGCTAGGGTGGTTTGGAGACCACAAGTCCTTCCAGGGAATCTGCGTCCAGTTCGCTGAACCCCCATCACATGTTCACAACTTCCTGTAACTCCAGCTCCAGGGGGGAACTCACAACTTTTAGTCTCTGTGGATACCTGTCTTCATGTGCTCTTACTTACCCCAGATACACATAATTATGTAAAATTTAAAAAATAACTAATTAACTAATTAGTCCAACACATTTATAATCCCAGCACTCAGAAGGCTGAGGCAGAAAGACTTGGGAGGTAGAGACCAGCCTGGGCTACACAGTCACTTCCAAGCCAGACTGGAACAGTATAAAACCCTGTCTCTAAATAAATAAATTTTTAAAAAATTCATACTATTATAACTGAAATAGAGAAAAAGAACTAATTATATATGGGCCAAAGAGTTATAGCTGTAGTTATTAGTAAAAGTTACTGTTTAAGAATATAACTTTTTTGTTTTTGTTTTTTGTTTTTCAGGGCAGGGTTTCTCCGTGTAGCCTTGGCTGTCCTAGACTTGATTTTATAGACCAGGCTGGCCGTGAACTCAGAGATCTGCCTGCCTCTGCCTCCCTGAGTGCTGGGATTATAGGCATGCTCCACCACACCTAGCTGAATATAAATTTTTATTTCATAGAGGATGGCATAGTTTATCAAGCCTCATATTGCTATATTTGAGCACCAAATATCTATCATATTTATATTTATTTCCCTTCACAGGGGAAGCTACTCAATCATGTTTAACCTTAACATTTGAAAAGGAGAGCTAAAATCCAGAGTCACCTAGTTAAATAATCACAAAAGAGATTTTAGATTACCTATTGTGGAGAATCACCTAGTTAAAGAGAATTCAAGTCATCTGTTGTGGTAACGGCAGAGTGGGGTGCCTTGCAGCACAGTGAGAACAGGAGTGGTGTTTGCCCTTTAGTACACTGGTCTTAATCCTGTATCAAAGAGAAATTCTTGCATTCCCACAGCATATGATGTGTTCTGGAGTTACCTATATGTCTTTGGGGATAAACTGAAATATATCCATATTTTAACGTTAAAATAACTGAACATGTTTAAATCTTGAAACATTCTGCTGAGTGAATGAAGTCAAAGAAAATCAGAGTTAAATTTTATTCATGTAAAATTCAAATCTTGTAAGGATGGTGGGGATAAGAACAAAATAACATCTCATTTTAATGAAGCCCTGAATTACTTGGCAGAAACCACTCAAAATGAGGTAAACACTTTGGTCCAGGCCTCATGTCTTTATCTCTGAACACGTTTGAACCCTCTTGTACTGTGAGGTAGGTGCTGTTCAGGCTCAAGCCCACTGTGAAATGAGAAACACTAACCATTTTTCTCTGATCACCCCTGCCCAGGCCATTTCTTCATTTTAGAATGCTAGGCAGAATGTTTGCTGGCCGATGCTGGTACGGATAAGGCTTAAGATGATAGAGCCAAGGGCTGGAGAGATGGCAGAGAAGTTAAGAGCACTGACTGCTCTTCCAGAGGACCTGCGTTCAACTCCCAACACCCATATGGGAGCTCACAACTGTCTGTAATTCCAAGAGTTGACATCCTCACACAGACACACATGCTGGCTAAACATCAGTGAACATAAAATTAAAAAAAAGATGAGGGCTGGAGAGATGGCTCAGAGGTTAAGAACACTGGCTGTTCTTCCAAAGGTCCTGAGTTCAATCCCCAGCAATCACATGGTGGCTCACAACCATCTATAGTAAGAACAGGTGTGCAGGCAGAATGTTGTATAAATAAAATCTTTGAAAAAAATAAAAAAAGATGATAGAGCCAGATGAGAGGTCATTCAGGGGAAGAATTCCGTAAACTTACTATTCTCATCTCTGCACTGTGCATGTGTGTTTGAGAGAGAGATGTGGGGTCAGGCACTGTCCACTTTTCTCTGAGACACAGTCTCATAGCCTGGATCTCGCCAACTGATGGATTCCCAGGAACCGCTGTCCCTGTCTCCCCAGCAGTGGAGTTACAATACGCATGTTACTGCGTCCAGCTTTCTTCTTAGACAGAGGCTCTAGGAACTGAACTCAGGTCCCTGAGCTTAAAAGACCAGTGTTTAGACTCACTAAGCCACTGCCTAGCCTTCAATTTCATCTTCTTTCTTACTATTCAGTTAGGCTGTTAACCCACATAGAGCCCCTCGGTCTCCACACCAACTATCATCACCAATGGTGTCCTCCTCCAGTCTAAAACATGGATTGTTCTGGTATTAGAAACTTGGTGATGTCTTCTGTATAATCAAAGACTCACAATTTTGAGGAAACTCTAAGAAGAATCTTGGTGTGTGCGTGGGGGGTAGGAGAGATGATCAACACTAGGGCCTTGAACACAATAGGAAAGTCTCTACTACTGAGGGGTACATTTTGATTTGAAGTGTGATGTCACTATCACAGTGTTTCTTCTCAAAATCATCTCAGTGGCTAAGCAAGTCCTTAGTGTGTGTAAGGCCCTGGATTCAGTCCCCAGTAAGAAAACACAAAGAGGAAAACAGAAACCAATTAGTGGGAACTGAAGGTGGCATCTAAGTAGATGAGAGTGTTGAGAGCAGAGAGTAGCTCAGGGAATGTCCCCTCACTGTCTTAGGGCTGCTTTTCAACAGAAGGGACCCGGCAGCAGGGCTGCTGTGCTTTTAGCCCGTGTCTCTGGCGCATCCCTCACCTGTATAAACGAAGACTATGCTATGACTTTTTTGCAGCTGGTTTTACGAATATGTGGAGACTTTAGAGGAAGAGGTATGTTTAATTTCAGAAAGCTACAGTTTAAAAAAAAATTTTTTTTTTTCTTTTACCTGCAGTAGAATTCCTCCCAGTGGTCTTTAACCCGGGTGTTCTAAACACAGCAGCCTGGGCTTTTGAAGCACTCCCAGGCAGGGTCACATGTGGAGACTTTCTGGCTGGAGTCTTGGTCAGTGAGTACTTATGTTCATTATCTTTAGTAGCGGCTGAAAACCTACGCCCAATAATGGAGGAGAACGTGAGCACTTGTAGCAGGAGTAACTAAGGCTGATTTTGAACTTGTAAATGACACCACTAGACCATCACCAGGCAGCTAGCAAACCTCTGGAAATACTTGCTATGAATCAACCTCTCTTATACAAGAGATATGTTTTTAAGCAAATAATTTGTCAACTTGCATTATTCGTAAAAATAAGTTTTGAGGGGCTAGAAGATAGCTCAGCAGTTAAGAGCACAAACTGTCCTTACAGGATCCAGGTTTGGTCCCCAACACCCACATGGCAGTCTGTAACCATCTGTGACTGCAGTTCTGGGTACCTGACACCTTCTGGACTCAGAGAGCAAGAGGCAAATGTTCTCACACATCAAATAGTAAATCTTTGATACATTATTTATAGTAAATCTAAGATACATTATTTAATAAGATATATATGTGTTTTCTGGTATTGTGTTGGCCAATGGCAGGCCTTGAGGGGAATGCCTGTGGGATTCAGGTCACCCCTCAGGAGCCTTCTGTCCTTTCCTCCTGGCAATATTAAGTCAAAGGGACAGAACATTCTCCAGAGAAGTGATGATAACATCTGCCTCAAATGCTCTCCTTTGGGGAGTGATGTAAATGAACACGCCCTACTCACGCCAGATGTCACACATGTATTTCAGATGATGCTTCCATCATCTGCCCTGTTAGAGTTCCTGTTCTAATTTCCTCCAGTGATGAGCAGGGATGTGAACATGTAAGCCAAATAAATGCTATCCTCCTCAGCTTGCTTTCAGTGATGGTGTTTCATCATAGAAATAATAGTAACTCAAAGACATGATCCTATACTTTAATATATATGAAAACGACCAGTGTGGTGGTGTTGGTTTAAAATCAAATAGAGACGTGGATTTAGGGCTGGCAAGTCAGCAAGACTAACCTACTTGCAAGTGGGAGACTGTCTCCAAAAAAAAAAAAAAGTAGATGGGTACTGATGACAACTGAAGGCTATCCTCTAGGCAACAAATCTACATATACACACCCAAGCATTTCGGAACACTTGGGGTACAGCTCAGTGGTGGAGCCCTTGTCCAACAAACCCAAGGCCCTGGGCCCAAGCCCCAGTGTGCATGTGTGTATACCGTGTGTATACATACCTACATAACCTCTTAAGAGAAAATATTTTTACCTGACGTTCATCTTAGTTGCTGACTGGCCCTGTGAGAGCTGCTGTCTGGCAGGAGTACATGGTACGGAGAGTCTTCCTCTAGGTGGAACTGGCGTCACTATGCCTTTTTTGTCCAGCTGCTTTTGAAAAGAAGAAAAAGCCCCATTTTAAAATCTTGGCCTTGGGCCAGCAAAGCTCAGTGGGTAAAGGCCAAAATATGATGAGCTGTGTTCCTTCCCCACAGCCATGTGGGAGAGGAGAGATCCAACCCTCATCAACCGTCCTCTCACTGACAGACAGACAGACAGACAGACACACACACACACACACACACACACATACACACAATGTAACTTTACAGTAAGAACTTGTTCTCAAACAAGATGAGGTAGTATATCTCTGTAATCCCAGATGGGGTGAACATGATCAAGGGTTCAAGGCCAGCCTCAAGGCTATCTTAGACTACATAAGAATGTATTCTCAAAATAATAAACAAAACAATAAACAACAACAATTAAAAAAAGAAAGAAAGAAAAAATCCCCTGGAAGAGCAGCAAGTTTTAGCTTTCTTTATTATATGTGTATAGGTATTTTGCATGTATATCTGTGCACCTTGTGCATGCTTGGTACCCAGGGGAGCAGAAGAGGGTATCAGATTTCCTAGAACTGGAGTTACAGGCAGCTGTGAGCTTCCATGGAGGTTCTGGGAATTGAACCCAAGTCCTTTGGAAGAGCAGTCAGTGCTTTTAACCAGTGAGCCATCTCTCCAGTCACAATAACATCTGCTCTTAACTGCTGAGCCACGATTCCAGTTCCACTCAGTCCCTTTTATTTTATTTTTGGTTTTTCAGACAGGGTTTCTCTGTGTAGCCCTGGCTACCCTGGAACTTGCTTTGTAGACCAGGCTGGAATGGAACTCACAGGGATCTGCCTGCCTCTGCTCCAGAGTGCTGAGATTAAAGGTGCGTACTACCACTGCCCCACTTCAGTACCCTTTAAAATTTAACCTTATACTTTTTTTTTAAAGTTTAGTGTTATAACTGGCTAACATCAGTTTTGAAAAATATCAAGTTATATAGTACTAGCCCTCACATGAATGTTTCTCGGCCCTGTCTAGTACCTTCAATTACAGAGAGCAGTAACACTGACTTCCTATGATGTCATCAATTCCTAAATCTAACTCAGCTAAGAGTTGGCTCCATCACCTTGAAGGAGCAGCGAGGCCAACAAAGCCTGTACTGAAAACCCCTGAAGGAACTGTTACCACAGCAACCCTAAGATAGCCATTATGAATCCCTCATTTGAAGAGAAAAACTCAAGCCAGAAACTAATTCATTCTCAATACAAGTAAGGCAAAATGATTGTGGAAAATAGAACATATGCCACTGTGGATGAGGATATCTATTTGTCTGTCTGTCTATGTATGTATGTATGTATGTATGTATGTATGTATGTATGTATCTATCTATCTATCTATCTATGTATCTATGTATATTATTTTTGTTTATACATGACTATATTATTTCCATTTATTTTTTAATTAAAAAAATTTTGTGGCAGGTGGAGGTGGAGCACATCTTTAATCCCAGCACTCAGGAGGCAGAGGCAGATGGATCTTTATGACACTGAGGCAAGCCTGGTCTACAGAACTAGTTCTAAGACAGCCAAGGCTACACACACACACACCAACACACAAAATAAAAAAATTAAAATAAAACAAAACAAGCTGTCTTGAAAAGCAACACAACAAAAACTTGTGAGAGCACTCAAACACACAAAAAAGTCTCATTCTGCCGCAATGGCTGACCTGGAACGCACCATGTAGCCCTGTGCTAGCCTCAAGCTCATCTGCTTGTCTCTGCCTTCCGAGTACTGGGTTAAAGGCATGTGCTACAACATGGCAGGATGCAGTTTTATTGACGGCTTTAAAAACTCTGACGGGAGGAGAAAGCAATTTGAAGAAAGACGTGTCAAACCCAAATAAGTTCATACACAAATACAGTCATATGATGATAGCTACATTCACTATAGTGTTCAATTATTTAAATAATTAACATTAATTCAGGAGACAGAGGCAGGTGAAAATCTGTGAGTTCGAGGCCAGCCTGGTTTACAGAGTAAGTTCCAGGGTAGTCAGGGATACACAGAGAAACTCTGTTTCCAAAACTAAAACCAAACCAAACCAAAACAAACAAATAAATTAACAAGATAGAGCTGGAGAGATGGCTCAGTGGTTAAGAGCCATGTTCTTCCAGAGGACCTGGGTTCAATTCCCAGGGCCCATATGGCAACTCATAACCTTCTGTAATGCCTATTCCAGATGATTCAACCCCTGCTTCTCAACTCCCTGGCCCCAGGCAGGTACATGGTACATATAACAACATGTAGGCAAAACAAATACACACACACACACACACACACACACACACACGCCCCAAAACAAAACAAAAAACCATGCATTTTGTCTGCTGCATACCTTTAGTTTATTAAGTGAATTGTTTTCTTTAAGGTGTTTCTTTTTTCTTACGATATATTCATCAATGGATTCCATTTTCTTAAAATGAGCCTCATGAAGCTTCTTAAAGTCTAGAATGTTCCAAATCATGAGAAGTAGTAAGATAAAAATCTATTTTAACCTTTGCTGTGTTCTTATCAATGTTTATTCTCTTTACTTTCCTGACAGTCAATTTTAATATCATCTCGGCTAAAACATTAGCCAAATTAACTGAATTCCAGAACATTCAGCTTTCAGAACTCAGGGGAAAGCTCATCTTGGAGGCCAGCAACAGCAGTACCCCCACTGACCAGTTCCCTGACATCTGGCTTTGGAGAACAAGAGATTTGTCTTCTTCCACCTCAGTTAGTTAAAGGGCCTTTATTTAATCATGACAAAACACACTGTGCCTAATGTGCACATGTGAGATGGGGACTGAAATCCAGGGCCTCCTACATGCTAAGCACATGCTCTACCATTTGAGCTACAACTCCTCCTGCCTATGAACACTGACAGTTTTTATGCTGAGACAGCACTGAGTTAAAAGACATCCACAAAGGTTCAGATAATAAATATGTTAGGCTAGCATGGTTTTTGTCTCATTTGTTTTAATCCCTTTGAGAATTTTAAAGCTATACTGAGTGTAGGGGCACATGTCTATAAATACAGCACATGGCAGGAAGAGACAAGAAGATTTAAAATTCAAAGCCAGCCTTGGCTACAGCATCCTGGGTTTGAGGCTTCCTGGGCCACATTAAGACTCTGTCTCAAAAAAACAACAACAACAAAATACAAAACCAAAGGTCAAAAACTTAGTATGAATACTATACCTGCACATGTGCAAAACCAGCTAGTGCGCTTAATGTCTGCACCATCTCTCTATCCCCTATTACTAAATTTCTAATAAATGAACAGTATTCTGTTAATCTATGTGTCAGGCAACATAAGCCCAATGAGAAAATTGTTTTTGTCTTTTTGACATACTAAGACAAATGACACAATAAGACAAGCTGGTACTGAACCATGTGAGCATGCTGAGTATGGCATGTACCTAGTACGTAAATATTATGCCATTAGGTAGTTATTGAAGCCTTGCTGTGTGCTTTTTCATGTGCTAGGTACTAAGCAGTGGAATACTATTCTCAAGCTTTACACCAGCCCACTGAAGCCTGAAGGACAGCCACTGCCACTTTACAATGCCAGAGTCAGTCTAGGTATCAGGTGCCCATGACCCTCCAGCTGGCAACCTGGAACAGTGGACCATGAGTCCTGGCCACCATGCCTCGGTCTTAGCTGCTGCCAAGCACTGCCTATTCAACAAGAGTCTGAAGGAGGGAAAGCCGCTTTTTTGTTTCTTTGTGTGCAAAACTTACTTGGTGTAGTGGCTGTAGTCCTTTTCTTATTCCTCAGTTTGGATTCCACGCTTAGCAGTCTTTCTTCCAAAGGCCCCTTCAAATCTTTACTGTCTAAATAGACAAATACAACAAAACAAAAACTTTTTTCCATTAAACTGTTGACTTGAATAACCAAAGATATAAAAAAACTTCTACATTTCTCTTTCAACTAACATTAAGAAACTATTATTTAGGGGGCAGTGGTGGGGCATGCCTTTAATCACACATTCGCAGAGGCAGAGGCAGGAAGATCTTTGTGAGTTCAAGGCCAGCCTGGATTAAAGAGAGAATTCCAGGACAGCTAGGGTCACACAGAGAAACCCTGTCTTGAAAACAAAAGCAAAGCAAAAGCAAAACAAAACAAAACAAAAAAGGACACAGCTTCTCAGTCTGTGGGGTCATGCAACCAAACATGGAGGCTAGATGGAATCTGGAAAAAGTAAAAGGTTTCTGAACATGAAGTAATAACCTTGTATGCATCCCAATCAAAGAAATAGGCAAGTGTTTTTATCAGTGAGTTCTGCAAAAAAGCTAATGAGAACAAAATGGGCTCTTGTCACCAAGGAGAGAATGACCTTCCCTAACTTCCCAGAAACCTCTTATTTTGGTCAGGATAAAAGTCATGGCTTAGGATGTTGCTGAGTCACAGAGCTCTTGACTTGCAGCTCCTGGGTTTGATCCCAGTAACAGTGGGGCGTGGTCACATGCTTCTAATCCCAGCACTCTGGGAGGCAGAGGCAGGTGGGTCTCTGAGTTTGAGGCCAGCCTGGTCTACAAATCGAGGCCAGGCAGCAAGCACTACACAGAGAAAGCCTGTCTCAAAAACAAACAAACAAACAAACAAACAAAAAAACAAAAACAAAAACAAAAAAAGAAGTTAAATACAACTCAGTGGTCTTTTGCATTTATTTATAGGTTTTGCTTTAATTGTAAAACATGTGAAAGTTCCAAGTGTGGCCACGGTGACTGTGCTCCTCTAAAGAGTTAGTTCCCAACTCTAGCATCTGTGATGTCACCTCACTTAAGAACAGGTGATATAATCTCAAACAGAGGTTGTTTTGGTAGGTAGTAATCCAGTAAGACCAGTTCCTAAGAAGAGATTCAGACAATCAGTCGCAGGAACTCTTAAAGTGGAGGCAGGAAGATTGCTGTGAGTTTGGGGCCAGCCTGGGATATAGTGTAAGGCTCTATCATAAGCCAAATAAACAAAACAAATATCATGTGATAACAGAGCAGAGCATGTGACAGCAGGCCAAGGAAAACAGACTTGCACAGCCACTATAAGGTACAAGAACAAAGAAGGTATGCAGTTACCTTTAATTGACATGGTTAATTGACACTTTAGAGTTGCAGCTCCTGAATCTATACTACAACCAATTTCTGTTCTTTTTCTTGCTTTTTTTTTGGGGGGGGAGGGAGCGTGGTACATTTATGTTTTTGTTATTTTGTTATATGTTTGCTTTTTGAGACAGGGTCTTCTCTATTATTCAGCTCTGGCTATCCTAGAACTCACTATGTAGACCACACTGCCTCAAACTCACAAAGATACACCTGCCTCTGCCTCCCAATTAAAGGCACACAACCACACATGGCTTGATTTCTTTATTTTTTTAACTGCCTGGTTTGCATTCCTGAGAAAGTAATGCACATGGTTCCCTTAGCAATGTCAGTCTGAAAATGTTAGTGCTTACCATTTATCTCACTGGTTCCTGAGGAAGCTGTACTCCTGTCTTCTTGGTTCTGGTCTGGCAGAAAAGAAACTTCTGTAGTAGCTCTGAGGTCTTGGTTTTCCTGATTTTCTTCATTTTGGGATACGTCAGTATCACTTCCTTTTATCTCAGAATGATCCTGCAACAAAGTTGGGGGAAAAAAAAGAATTGGTACCTTCTAACAAAAAGGGTATGAAAATAGGTGATGTGGGAGTGGGTCAGAAAAACAAAAGAGGAATAAGACTTCTGAGTGTTTGAACCTCTGCTCTGAGAACATAAATTTAAAAGCAGATACTGGAGGCCACTAGAGAGGACAAGATTTATTTCCTTATGGATAATGAACTAAGATTTAGACTCAGCTTCTAAGCGCAGCATGGTCACACACACCTGTAATCCCAGCATTTGGGGAGGCAGAGGCAGGTGGATCTCTGTTGAATCTGAGGCCATCCTGATCTATAAAATGAGTCTGAAAGAATCAGACTAACTTTGTAACCTATGTTTCTTTTAACTGCCTTATAACCTACAGTTTTAGGCCTATGTTAATTAAAGCCTTGTAGTGCTTCTCCAGAGAGCCGAGGAATGTAAAAGTTCCTGCCATCAGCCATCTGTGAGGGCAGAGATAAGGAAGAGAACAAGCAGAGATCCCTACTAAATGAAGAGTAAATCACCGAATGGCGCCTGTGAAATGGGCTTTGTTTGAAAACCGGGCCAAATGACCCCAATCCTTCTCCTGCATAGCTCCTGACCTTTGATCCAAAGCCTGTAACCCCCATTCCTCAGAATAGACATGGGATAAATTAGTTACTCTCCCATCTTTAACTGTGGCTGTATCTCATGTGGCAAGAAATTCCAAACTGACTTGGAGATCAGATATTTACGGCAGGACTGACTGGACCTAAGGGTGCCCAGAATCAATTATTTTAAAAGTTAAACACCTCATCCAATCCTAAATCGCCAAGAAGGGAACCCCAGGAGATTCCTGCCTTGTGTCTTTTAAAAACCTAAGGTCTTTGTCTCCCGGTGCCACTACTAGCTGACCAGCAGGGGTGACCCCATTGCGCAATGGTCAAGAGGAATCTCTTGCGTTTTTGCATCGATGGATGATTAGTTTCCTGAGTTCTCTTCATACCTTCTTATATTTAGGCTCTTGCTGGGCCTAACAAGTCCAGCCACGGCTACACAGAGAAACCCTTTCTCGAAAAACAAAACAAACTAAACAAAAAAATTATTAAGGCTGAGCATAGTGACACACACCTTTAATCCCCGCACTTGAGAGGCAGAAGCAGGTGGATCTCTATGAAGTAGTTCAAGGCCAACCTGGTCTACCAAGTGAGTTCCAAAGCAGGCAGAGAGGGCAACATAGTAAAGCCCTGACCTCCCCCCTAATTAATTAAAAAAAAAAAAAAAAGAAATTAGGACAGACATGTTGGCTCATACATATAATCCCAACACTTAGGGTGAGGCAGGAGAATTACCACGAGTTTAAGGCCAGCTGGGGTTGGAATCTGATTCAAAAAACTACCACCAACAACAGGAGGCCCATCATGGTGGTGCATGCTTTTAAGCAGGGTCTAGTCACATGAGTACCAGGTCAGCAAGAGCTATACAGTGAGACCCTGTCTCAAAGGGAAAGGGAGGGAAGAAAAGAGGGAGAGGACAAGAAGAGAGATGCTATGTGGTAAAAATTATATTTGATTTCTGTTGTTGTTTCACTGTGTAGCACCAATTGTCCTTGAACTCATGCTCCTCTGGCCTCTGCTTCCCCAACACCAAGATTATAGTTGTATACCTTCCTGCGTGGAAAAGGAAGTTTCGTTTGAATGTGATACAAGAGTAAAATCTGTGTAATCAAAGCAAGCAAGGAAGGCTCCTAGTCGCTGTGATCACACACTATTGACAGGCTGTACAGGATGATCACCAGGCCAGGAGCAAAATTAAGAAAGAGAGCTTAAAACTCCACTTCAGGCTGGCTTCTTTTTCCTTCATATTTATTGCAGACCACATCTATGAACAATATGTGAGCATTCACATTAATTCAATCAATTTTTAATGAGTTGTGTATGAGTGCATGTCCCAGTATATATGCACGAGTATGCTTATGATGAATGCTAGAAGAGGGCATTTGGGGTGGGTGGGACTGGGGGAGGAGGCTCTCTCTATTATTCTCCACTTTGTTCCTTTAGAGCACGCTCTCTCATTGAACCTGGAGATTTGGGTTTTAGGTTAGCCTGGCAGCCAAAGAGCCCCAAAGATGCTGCTTGCACTCCCTTGCTAGAGTTGCAGGTGTGCACGGGACGTGGGTACTGGGATCTAAACTCCAGAGCAGCAAGCACTCTTAACCCCTGAGCCAGCTCTCATCGTTCTCCAGAGCCTTAGATGGGGATTTATTGATTTACTCATTTACTCATTCATTCATTCATTTATTTATTTTATGTGCTCCACTGTAAAGGTGTCAGATCCCTTGGAAATGGAGACAGTTGTGAGCTGCCATGTGGGTGCTGGGAATTGAACCCAGGTCTTTTGGAAGAGTAGACAGTGCTCTTAACCACTGAGTCATCTCTCCAGACCCAGATGGAGATTTAATGTAGGCTTAATACTAGTAATTTCTTCCTGAGTGCTAGGGACAGGAGTGAAGTGGGAGCAGAGCAGACACAGGTCTTTGCCTCTGAGTAACTTGCAACACATGCTATATTTTGGCTAGCTGGCATCATAGGGGAAGGTAAAATGGAAGCTTGCTAATGTGCCGTTATGTTAGCTTATGGTAGTTATGGTGCCTTCTCTTCAGTTTTTGCACAGTGCCATTCACCTGAAAGCTAGGAATTCCATGAACGGTCTTGCGCTTCCTCTTCCTTGTTTTGGTGACATGACCAATTGGTACTCTCTCAGCTTGCTCCTCACCATTAATTTGTATCTCAGTCTCATCACAGGAGAATGCAGAAGATGGATTTTCATCCTGGAAAAGACGGAGACAGTATGGGCCATGTCCTGCATGAATGGTCACTAGCAACTTCTTTCTAAGTCAAAGTAACTTGTCACAGATAAGGGAACAGCACTTGCACTGTCATAAACTAAAGTAAAAAGTTACAATATGAATACGCATGGTCAGAAAGCAGAGCATCCAAAACAGACCTGCTCATATAAAAAATCACTGTTAGGTTAATGCTTATGTATTAGGGAAGGTTCTTTTTGTAAATAAAATACATAATGCTATTATCTATATTTCTTATATTTGTAGAAGAAAAAAAATCCTTTGTTTCCCTCTGTCAGGAGTCCAGCGGCCTGCTTTGATATTTAAATCTCAGCGGAGAGATGGCTTTTAGCAGGCCTTTACTAATGGCAGAGAAGAACTTGCAAATCCATCTCCTTTTGTTTGTGACAGCAGGTGAGATAGCTTGTGAGGGTCACACCTCTTCCTCAGGCTCCTTGTGAAAATTAACCCATTGTTCTGAGATGTTTTACTGGCTAAAAGTAACTCCTCACAAATAAAGAGAGGTCAGAGGGCTGGAGGCAGAGGAGGAGGCAGAGACTTGAGGCTTGCTGCTTGCACTGCTTGCTGTGGTAGCCTGCCTTTTGCTGTGGCTGTCGAGTCTGGACCTTTAAAAAGTTTCCTGTGTGCTGTGTGTTTATTAATATTAATCCTTACTCCCGACTCAAGAACCGGTCGACTCTGCTGGCTGGCTCCGGCATTCCTCCCATACCAAAGAATGTGGATGGCGGATAGCTGTTTCTTAGGTGTCCCACATGCTAGGGAATTACACTAGGGGTAAACATTATCCAGCACTTTTCTCACTTTTTATTTTGAGAAGGGTCTCACTAAGTTTGCTGACTTTCACTTTTGATCCTCCTGTCTCGGCCTCCTGAGTGCTGAGTCACAGATACGGTTCACACCACATGGGCTTGAATTTTTTTTTTTTTTTTTTTTCAGATAAACTTACATATGAATATGGCTTAAAATACTAAATACAAGATCTGGAAAGTATATAGTTCAGCAGTTAAGCACTCACCTACTATGTACAAGGCCCAGAGTTTGACCATCAGTACTTTGGAGATGTACAAGTACAGAAACAATCATGAAAGCAATTGGCTTGTCACCCTGGCTATTGTAGCTTTTTGTCAGGAGGTTCCTCATTTGTCTCTAGGGAATCCTGGCACACTCATTCATATGGCTTTTGTGTTAAAATGTAGCTTTTATCTGTGCTCTTCTCTCACACCTGAGACTCCTAGTAGACTGATACCATTTTAGTCAGTGTGCCACACCTTTAGCGCCTTCAATTCACCTTCAGGTGTTGTTATAGGCAGTAAGTTTTGTAAACCGTAGGTATAAGCATCTTTAGTTACTCCTCTTCCCATCCCATTTAGCTTGTGTGTGCTGAGAAATTGAACACAGGGCTTCATGAATGCTAAGCCAGCGCCCCACTTCTCAATTTCTGTCATCTGTTGAGACAGTGTTTTGATATGAAGCCCAGACTATCTTGAGCTCTAAATATGCTTCAGGTTCCCTAGTGCTGGGAGTAGGTGCATGTGTGGCTCTTTCTGTTCTCCTTATCAGCGTTGGCCATGTTTGTGTTCTGTGTAATCTTAACTGAAACATCTCTATTTGCCCAACTATCTTGATTCTATGGACAGTTCACCCAATAAGTTATTGTAAAGTGTGTTTTGTCTGTAAGTTTTCGTTTGTTTTCTATACCAGCATTCTTCGGGGCTCTTTCTCCTACTTATCTTAGTGTCCTGCAGCTTTGTCACAAATGTTTATTATCTGGGTTGTTTGTTCCTTAGGAGCTTGAATGTGGGAGGAAGATTTCTTTCTTTCTTTCTTTTTCAAGACAGTGTTTCACTGTGTAGCCATGGCTGTCCTGGAATTCATTCTGTAGACCAGGCTACAGAGATCCGCCTGCTTCTGCCTGCCAAGTGCTGAGACTAAAGGTATGTGCCACCATCACCACCTACTTTTTTTTTTTTTTTAATTAAAAAAAGTTATATGCATTGGTGTTTTGTCAGCAATATTATGTCTATGTGAGGGTGTGGGATCCTCTGGACCTGGAGTTACAGGCAGTTGTAGCTGCCATGTGATACTCTTAAACACCAAGCTATCGATTCAGCCAAAGAAGGGAGCTTGTCGTAAGACAGGATTCTAACAATAGATCCTTGGGTGGAAGAAGTGCATTATGCCCTAGGCTCCTTGAGTGCCCAAAGTCAGCACCTGGCTTTGCTTGACAACCAGTTATCTTTTCAGGGAAATCTGGTACTCCATATCCTCTACACATGGAGTGGTGTGGACTTCTTTGTCTCCCAACTTTTAGAGCAAAGTGGTTGAGCATGAATGCATACATCTGTCATCCTAGATACTTGGGTAAGACAGGAGGGTCTCAAATCTGAGGACAGTCTGGGCCACATAGGAAGACCTAGCACATATAAATAAACAAACAAAGATGCAAACCTAAAAATAAACACAAAAAGAGGAATTCAGACCCGCTATGTAACCTGGGTATTTATGGCTGTAAGTCTAGTTTTTATCCTGCTCCTCTCCTGCTGTCTCTCTGTCTCATAACTTATAATTAACTTTTGCTTTCCCTGTTTTTTTGTTTTGTTTTGTTTTTTCTTTTAAGATAGGGAGTTTTATTAGCTTAGACTGGTATTGAACTCAGGAACTTCCTGCTCAGCCACGGGAATGCTGGATTACAAGCATATGCCATGACACCAGGTACTTCTGCATTTGTTTAAGACTTCTATTCACTAGATAACACGGCATTTTCATCATTTACAATGAAGGAGACAATTCAGTCCCTGGTCCTGTTATTATCTGATAATAACACCAGATAACAATACACATCCTATCTTTCCCTTTGTTCATGGTTTTTGGTTTTTTTTTTTTGAGATAGAGTCAGGGTGTAGCCTAGAACTCTCTAGTGGCCTGTCGTGGCTCTACCTCTCAATGTTGGACCTATAAGCATGATGATCTACACCATCTATTACATCTTAAATCATCACTGATAAGTATTAATTGCTCACTAAACACGACTGTTTAACTAGGTAAGTGATAAAGAACATTACTTACCTGATTTGTATTTCCTCCCCTTGTTTCGGGATTCAGGCGTGCTTTCAAGGCTCTTAACAATTTGTCTGCCTGTAGAAAGAACAGCTCATCATTACAGTCAAAGTAATTAAGTGAGAAAGCTGTGACAAACACCTCTTTTCTTCTGTTTGTTGAATGTATTCCAGTCGGCCAGCTGACTACAACAGTGGCCTGGGTAGAACTGGATTTCACACCCTAGTGACAAAGTCAATAAAGACAAAAACACACATTGTAATACAGTGGGTTAGGTGTGTGAGGAAGCTTTGGCTTCTGTGGCTCAAGAGGATAGACATCAGCAGGTGATGGGATGTCCCAGGTTTAAGATAGATGTCCTGGCTGGAGCTGCTGAGATCTGAGAATGGAGAAGGGGGTCAAACAGAGAACAAGATGGAGAAAAAGCAAAGGAAACAAAGTAGGACGGATGATGAAGAACCAAATTCAGCACGGCTAGAGCACAATTAATAGGGAGGGGGCTGAGACAGAAGGTGGGAAAGCAGTCAAGAGCACAGTTTTGCTAGCTAGACCTGCCGTGGAAGGCTTCTTGAGAATAAACTTTATCCTTGCAACAAAGAGCAGTCTCTAAAGAGACAGGGCAGCAGGTGACCAACTGATGCTTAGGAAATCAGAACTGCAGAGAGGGATGCAAACCTTCTCAGGAATAAATCAGCAGGAATTCAGAGGACTAGGAAAACGTTGTTTTTGGGGGGGGCAGTTTCTCTTGTGGGCAGGTGGTAGCATGTAGTGAGGGTCTTACAAGACCTTGGGAAAGACAGACCTCCTAGATTCGCCTTCCATTCTAGGAAAGCTTCCCTTGGTCTTTCCTGGAAGACAAATACTAATCTGACTGGCTTTCTTTTTTTTTTTTTTTTTTTTTTTGAGACAGGGCTTCTCCATGTAGCCTTGGCTATCCTGGAACTTGGTCTGTAGATCAGGCTGGCCTGGAACTTGTAGATCTGCCTGCCTCTGCCTTCCAAGTTCTGGGATTAAAGGAATGTGCCACCACAGCCCAGCTTGACTTTAAAGGTCAAATGTAGTGAGGCATAGCAATTCTATGAGATTTACAGGACTGCCTGGGCTACAGAATGAGACTGCATTTCAAACAATCAAAAATCAAATATATTAAGTTCTTTTTCTTTATGTGTCCTTTAAAAAAAAATTTAGGGGGTTGGAGAGATGGCTCAGGGGTTAAGAGCACTGGATGCTTTTCCAGAGGTCCTGAGTTCAATTCCCATCAACCGCATGGCAGCTCACAATCTGATGCCTTCTTTTGGTCTGCAGGCATACACGCAGACAAAGCACCTGTACAAATAAAAAATAAATTTAAAAAAATTTTAGCTGGCCATGGTGGTCCGTGCCTTTAATCCCAACACTCAGGAGCCAAAGATAGGCAGATCTTTGTGAGTTTGAGGCCAGCCTGTCTTCATAGTGAGTTCTAGACAGCCAGAGCTATACAGTGAGACCCTGTCTCAAAATAAGATAGTAAAATAACTATAAATTAATAAAATAACTTTAAACTTTTTGTTTGTTTTTGGTTTTTTGAGGCAGGGTATTCTTTGTGTAGCTCTGACTGTCTTGGCACTAGCTCTGTGGATCAAGCTGGCCTTAAATTCAGAGATTCACCTGCGCCTGCTTCTAGGATTAAAGGAGTACACCACCACCAATTGGCTTAAATTTTTTAAATTAAAATATAATTACTGGCTGGGCATGGGAGCACATGCCTTTAATCCCAGCACTTGGGAGGCAGAGGAAGGGGGATTTCCAAGTTTGAGGCCAGCCTGGTCTACACATTCAGTTCCAAAATAGACAGGGCTGCACAGAGAAACCCTGTCTCAAAAAAACAAACAAAAAAACCAAACAAAACAAAATTGTTGTTACACATACCACTAAGTATATAAACACAACCTCCTCAGTCCATGTTTCTGTGTTTCTTGTATGTATATGATTTGATACACTTAAGAGGGACCCAACCAGCTGGGTAGTGGTGGTGCATGCCTTTAATCCCAGCACTCGGGAGGCAGAGGCAGGAGGCCTCCTATGAGTTCAAGGCCAACCTGGTCTACGGAATGAGTTCCAGGACAGCCAAGGCTAAAACAGAGAAACCCTGTCTCGAAAAACCCAAAAAGAGGGCTCAACGTCCACGTGGCTCTTTCCTTCTTATACAGTTTATCATTTACCAGTAGTAAATGGTAAAGCTTGAAATCTGCTCTGCCCTTTAAGTACAGGAGTTTTGTTGAGGTGTGAGCCTAAGCCACATACTTCAGCTGTACTAGACTTCTCTGCATGAAGACATCCAGCTATTAATAAAATGGTTATTTCCTATAATGAACCTTACCTGAGGTTTCCTCTCAGACTAAATAATCTAGGTTTATTTGTTTGTTTTGAGAAGGGTTTTACTATGTAGAGTTGGCTGGCCTGCAACTCACTATGTGGACGAGGCTGGCCTCAAACTCAGAGTTGGCCAAACCTAGGGCTTAGTTCAGGGTTGACAAGCCCTTTACCAGCTGAATCATATCTTCAGGCTTGTTTTCGAGACAGGGCCTACAATTTATGATCCTCCTGTCTCTGCCTCCCCAGGGCTGGGATTATCGTTCTGGCATTCAAAAATTAGAAACTATTTCTTTTCTTCATTTCAAAACAGAATCTCACTTTGTAGCCTGATTTGTTCAGGAACTATGGAGACCCGACTGGCTTCTTTCTCTTCCCTGGCGCTGGGATTAAAGGCCTGTACCACTATGCCCAACTAGATGCAAATTCTTGTTTGCGCTCCTGTATTTAGGCATGTGTGCCACACAGTGCAGGTGTGGAGTTCAGAGGACAATTTTGTAGAGTTAATTCACTCCTTCCATGATGTGGGTCAAAATACCAGGCTTCTGTACCAAACACCTTTATCCAATGAGCCATTTCATTGCCTGACCAGGAAACGGTTTCTTAACATACTATCCAAATCTCACCAAGTATGCAACATGACAAGTGAAGACATTCAGCAAGTCAAGTAACACGAGATGAAGCTCCAGAGCCGACACGAAGTAGAAGTGTTATTCATTAGCATTAGGACTGAATGGCTGTCCATTTATTGTGGTGAGCACTGCTCTAGGAGCTAGAGAGACTGGTGAACAAAACAGACATCCTTCTGCTGGGCTAGTGGGAAAATATGTAACTAAATAAGCTGGAAATAGAGAACACATCAGGGTTAGGGCACAACACCTAAACAACGTGATAGAGGTGGGATGGGGTGGTCCGCGTTCAGATGGTGGTGATCAGTTGAGATGCAGATGAGATGCGAGGTGACAGGTGTAGGCTGATAAACAGTCAGGCCACAGGTAGTGGTACAGATCTATATGGTCCTAGCAGGGTCCTATCCCAAGTTTTAGGCTAGTCTAAGCTGTATGCTGTTTTCCAGGATACTTTGGGCTGATACTGAGACTTTGATAAAGTCTAATTAAAAAAAAAAAGTCCAATCCAGATAGGGAAAGCCTGAAGGGCTAAGCTTTATTCACTACATTGAGGAGCCATTAAACTTAAATAAGAAACATTTCCAAGTACTCTTCATTGCCATTCAGACACACCCAAGGGGACGACGGTGGCCTCATTGTTCTGTTTAAAAACATTGTAAACCATTTGTGATGACTGACTAGACATTTAGTGCAAATATCAGTTTACTGCACAAATCTGTGCTGTATCCATGTGGGAAATCTCAACTCCAATATAGCAAACCCGAATCTCTCAAGGAGGCCCCACATTTCTCTGAACACCTTGCAACTCAGGATTCAAAGACCTTACCAGTTTTGAAAAAGCCCACCATCACAACAGTGATTAATGTACGGACGATCATGAAAGATCTCGGTCGCCAGCCATCCCATTAAAGGCCCATGAGAGCGTAGGTACTACAACAGTTTACTGAAGAGTAGTTGGGAATTTTCCAGAAGCCAATTCAGTTTTTTCTTCAACTGCCTAATAACCGGCATAGACAAGACATTGATTATGCTCTATGAACCTTCGTTTCCCCTCTCATTAGCGCTTCCATTAAGAGGCGTTTATGGGCTCCTGAGAAAAGTTAGCCTCCGAATAATGTAAAGGCCGTGGCTTTTCTTTCGTTTAACACATTCCAGCCACCGCGAACGGAGCCGACTAACCCCCCAAAACAGCGTTCCCCGGGGACTCCTCTTAGTCTCTTTGCGTCCTACACCGCGGCTATCCCGCCCACCCAGCTGCCCGCCCCGCCAGCCAGCACCGTACCCTCAGGTTAGCCCGGAGGCCCAGCCTTTTGGCTAAATTCTGCAGGTCACTGTACTTGAAGGCGTCCAGCTCCTCGGCAGAGGGGACGGTCATCGTGTTCTGCAAGCCCGGCGGCATCCAGAAAAGCAGCCGCACAGCTCAGACAGTTCAAAACTGGCGCCGCCGGAGACGTTGACAAGCCGACCTCTATTTTCAGTTTAAACGAGGACTGCTGTGCGTCCATTGGCTGACCTGCTTCGAGGCGGGGTTTCCGACGCGGGCCCCTGGAGCCGCTGCGGCGCGCTCCTCCTCAGGCCCCACTAATGCGCAGGCGCTCGGCCGACTGCGGGCGTGCCCAGGGCATGTCGTCCAATGAGGACGCAGGAAACTTCGGCTGGGCCGGCCCTGGCGCGAGCGAGGAAAAGAGGCGCGGGCTCCAAAAAGATGGCTGCCGGGTCGCGGCGCCCCGTCGCGGTCCTGGAGACACCGTCCTGCAGCGAGTCCTGTGACACACCTTGCTCTCCCACTTCCTCCATGGAGTGGGACACTCAGGTGGTGAAAGGCTCCTCTCCTCTCGGGTCCCCCCGCTCCGGGGTGGCGGCATCACCTGTCGACCTGCGGCTGCCGGCGTGGTTGGAGCCGGAGAGATGTGCGGTGTTCCATTGCGCGGGTTGCCACGCGGTGCTCGCCGACACCGTGCACCTCGCCTGGGACCTGTCGAGGTCCCTAGGGGCTGTGGCCTTCTCCAGTGAGTGAGGGGAGGGCTGTCATCTGAGACAGACAGACGGGGGCCAGGGAAGTGTCGGATCTCAATGAGCAGGGGGAGGGAGGCTTGGTTTTCCTCTCGCGAGCTGAGCTAGTGGCTTAGGCTGAGGTCCCTCCCCCCTGTCCCCCCCTTTAGGACTTCTATTGCCAGGATGAATCTGGTGGGAGGTTTTCCTTTTCAAAACCGGTTTGTCTTCCAGGAGTCACAAACAATGTCGTTCTGTTAGAGCCCTTTCTGGTTGGCATTGAAGGTTTTCTCAAATGCAGGTAAGAGAATTCCAGAGGTAGATCCGTATGTAGTTCCTGATTTAATGACACCAAGGAGTACTAACTGTTGTAGACCAAAAAATCTTTATTTCTGTTGTGACAGATTGATTAAGTCAGCTGGGAGAGGAAGACTGAGCCAGAACAACCTAGCTCAATCAGCCAGCCCAGAGCTCAGAAAGAACAAGAGCTAATTAAGCAGTAATTCTCAGAGGCTGAAATACTTTAGGCCTAGTAGGTAGATTGTATGGAGGCTCAACTTTCGGGACTAGGCCTGGGTTAGAAGACAAAGCCACTAAGCCTCTGAGACAACTGAAGCCAGCAAATAAAAGTTACTTAAAGGGGGCTGGAGAGATGGCTCAGTGGTTAAGAGGTCCTGAGTTTAAGTCCCAGCAACCACATGATGGCTCACAACCATCTATAATGAGATCTGGGGTTCTCTTCTAGCATAAATATACATAAAATAAATAGAGCACTCATATACATAAAATAAATAAGTACTTTTTAAAAAAAAAAAAAGAAAAAGTTACTATCTTAATTTCACAAATTCATTTAAAATTTTAATTATAAGCCTGTGGTAATGGCATACACCTGTAAACTCAGCACTTGGGGGGGCAGGGGCAAGAGGATCTCTGTAAATTCGAGGACAGTCTGGTTGGTATATAGAGCAAGTTCCAGGACAGCTAAGTCTGCACAAAGAAACCCTGCCTGAAAAACCAACCAAACAAAAATTATGTACTTTTACAGCTCAAAAGTACAGTGCTTGCCTAGCTTGTATGAGGTGCTAGAATTGATGTACAGTACCTCAAGAAAAAATACATAGATTTGTTACACTATAATTTGTAAAATGCACATTATGTATTTATATGTCTATATAAATATGTATGTGCTTATATATTGGTTTCTTAAGGTTGGGTTTCTCTTAACAGCACTGGCTGTCCTGGAATCGCTTTGCAGACCAGGCTGGCCTGGAACTTAACTCAAAAACATCTGCCCGCCCCTGCCTCCTGAGGTCTGGGATTAAAGGCATGCGCCACCACTGCCTGGCCTAAAAATAATTTTATTACATTTAGTTAGGGTGTGTTTCTGTGTATATTCACATACCGAGGTTCACATGTGAGGGTGAGAGGTCAGCTTTCAGCAGTCCATTCTCTCCTGTTCATGTCCTGAGGTCTGAAGCTTAGTAAGCAGGCACCTTTACCTGCTGTCAGTGCAGCCATGATTTCTTCACTGTGTTGTTCATCTGCTTGTTTCCTTGTGAAGGTAAATGGTCGTTTTTACTAAAAAACTTGAGGTCTTGAGATAGCTGTTTCAGTGTCTTTCAATTCAGTAGTTGATTATTAGCTTATGTCGTATGTGGTACAACACTTGTAAATCATTTCAAAAAGTTTAATTGAAGCACTCAAGAAAATAGAAGAGTGGAGGAAAAATACTCTGCTCCACAGCTTGATAGTCTTCCAGATTGACAGATTATACTGAATAGAAATTAAAATCTATTTTCCCTTGTTCTATAATGGAGAACCAATTGTATTTATTTATCTATTAGAAGTAACTGCCTTAAGTCCTCCAGTGTTCATGATCCAGTGGCCCAGCAAGTTACAGGATCCTAACTTTTTAGCATGGAGCAGGAAGAAAAAACATCTTAAGGATAGTAGTAAATTTCTTTAGGAAGTCGGGAGCTGTGAATTACACAAGTAATCAGAGACAGTGAGGCATTAGGGTCTGGTTTGGTTCTGTATCCCTAGCAGGGTTTTCTTGTTTAGCCCTGGCTGTCCTGTACTCTGCCTCCTGAATGCTAGGATTAAAGTCACCACACCCCCCTTTGTTTTTGTTTCTTTTTTCATCATAAATTCTTATCTCTGCTTTTGTTTTTTTGAGATAAGAGTCTTACATGGCCCAGGCCTGTGAACTTGAACTCTTGGTCCTGAACTTGAGCTCCTCCTGCCTCAGCTTCTGAGTCTTAGGGTAACAGATACTATCATCATACCTGATGACGGCAGTTGTTTTTATTTCTTCTCTGGCATTTCCTTATTTTACATTCTGCTTCTTTTTTTCCCCCATCAGCACATACAACCTCTTATTCTGTAATTCCTGTGGGACATCTGTTGGTTTCCACCTATATTCCACCCACGCTGCTCTGGCTGCCTTGAGAGGCTACTTCTGTCTCTCCTGTGATAAAATGGTGTGGTGAGTAGATAAAGGTATTACTTATCAAATAAGGTTTTTAAATTTTTCTTAAAAAAGTTCAGGTGTCTATAACCAAAGAAGATGCAAAAGGCTAAGCACTGTTTATTATACACATGCCTGCAAGCATAAAATATGACCCTATAATAAATACTATGATTATTTTAGGTGTTTTATTGTACTGTCTTAAAATGGAATAATTTAGTATTCCTTCATTCAGAAAAATTCTAGAAGTTATGCTTTTGCAAAATAGCGTTTTTATAGGTAACTTGGTTTGCAGCTGTGTCTGATACTCTTCTCATGTATAGGACTTGGCCTACATGGGATGCAGCCTCCAAGATATACATATATACACATATATTACACCTAACCCAACTAAGCCAGATTTTTCTACCCCTGGAATCTGAGATGAGGCCTGTGTTGGCTTGTCTCATGAAAAGACGTAATACCAGACAAAAACAACCTCCAGGAAAGGAGGGCTTCTTGTGGCTCACAGTTTGAGGGTTGTCTTAGATAGGATTTTTATCTCTACGAAGAGACACCATGACCAGGGCAACTATATCAGCAGTCAGGAAGCAGAGAGACAAGTGTGTTATTTTTAGAAACAAAATCCCAGCTGTGGAGATGCATGCCTTTAATCCCAGCACTCAGGCCAGCTGAGGCAGGCAGATCTCTGTAGATTCAAGGCCAGCCCGATCTACAAAGTGAGTGTAGGACAGCCAAGGCTACACAGATAAACCCTGTCTCGAAACCTCCCTCACCCCACCCCCCAAAAAAGTATTAAAGGTGTGTGTTAGAGCTGAACCACACCACAACCACCTGTTCACAATAAGAAACTTCTTGAATTAAAGGTGTGTTAGGCCTGAACCACTCCAAACAAAGGACAGGTTTTTATAGTTCACGATCTCGGGCTTCACAGTGGGATCAAATATTCTACAACACAAATGCTAATGAATGTTCAGCTTTCTTTTTTAGTGTTTTTATTTTTTACATACATTTGTGTTATGTGTGCATGTATTTCTGTGTGAGGGTGTCAGACTCCCTGAAACTGGAGTTACAGACATTTGTAAGCTACTATGAGGGTACTGGGATTGAACCAGGGTCCTCTAGAAGAACAGCCATCTCTCTAGCCTTTGCTTCCTCATTTTTATTTTTGGTCTATTTTTATTTTTGGCACCATGGAATGTTGCTGCTCACATGTAGATCAGGCCTTTGCACCTCAATGAATCTAATCTAATCTAATCTAATCTAATCCATGAAATCAGTTCTTCATGGGCATGCCTAGATACTTGTCTCCTAGCTGATTTCAGATCTTTGAGGGTAACGATATTAACCACAAGGACCTAGAGTTGTTTTTAGGTGATACTAGTGCTACAGTTGGGGTAACTATTGCACTTTACTCCACATACAGAGAAATTATCCAATGAAAAAGAATAGTGAAATGAAGAGTATAGTAATGACTATTTTTTCCCATAAATTTCATTGGATATTGTTACTGTTTAATGTATCTAATATTTATACCAATAAAGGCATTTAAGGCCTGAACTGAGGTAGAAACTTGCTAGTTCAGTGAGGTAACTTTATTTCCTGTACTATATACAAAATATCTATTTACAAGTCTGACTCTACATCTAAACTGCTAGCTGTGTAGAAATCTTTGTGTCCTTTTACCTAGCTAAAACATACCTTTCTTTTGAGCTTTGCTCTCTTTCCTAGATTGTTTTACCTGCAACCTGCCAGCAGCTTCTCTGTTGTTCCTGCAAGCCCAGAGAGAGGGGATCTCTCTTACCTAAAGCTCCTCTAAAAAGAGGCGCTCCAAGCCTAAAAAAGGTTGCTCTCAAAAGTCCAAGTGCTTACAGAAGTCTCCAGCCCCTCCCCCACACTGTTGGCAGGCTGAGCCATGTCACCATCATGGATGGGGGCTCCAAGCCAATTCAGTAGGGGCCAAACCGTATCACTTTACAGTGGGGTAGCTCAAGGTCAGCTGGTCATAGAGCTGGTCACTCGGGTCATACAGCAAAGACCACAAGACCTCTCCCAAGCAACTTGCCTTCAAAGAGGGAGGAACTTTCTATTCAACATTCTTATTTATAGAGGCACACCCAAACTGCACCTCTTCAGGACACACCTAACTACATCTGGCAAGTGCAGTATCTGTTTAGGCTCTCATATTTTGCTAACAATTAGTTTTTCTATATGTACAATAATGAATTATCCTATAACAGGATTTATTTGTTTATTGCTTATACAATATGCTGCCTGCATGTGTGCCTGCAGGCCAGCAGAGGGCACCAGATCTCGTTATAGATGGTTGTCAGCCACCATGTGGCTGCTGAGAAATGAACTCAGGACCTTTGCAAGAACAGCCAGTGCTCTTAACTGCTGAGCCATCTCTCCAGCCCTTAACTTAAGGTATTTTAATTTAAGGTTTTTTATTACATGAAACTGGAAGTGCTAAGAAATGGCCCAGAGGTTAAGATTACTTACCATGGCATAGTAGCACACGCCTTTAATCCAGCACTCAGAAGGCAGAGGCAGGCAGATCTCTGTTAGTTTCAGGCCAGCCTGGTCCACAGAGTGAGTTCTAGACAGGCAGGACTACCCAGAGAAACCCTGTCTTAAAAAGCAAGTAAATAAGTCAGGCAGGGTGGCACACCTGTAATCCCAGCACTCAGGGAGGCAGAGGCAGGTGAATCTCTGTTTGTTCAACGCCAAAGGGAGTCTAGGACAGCCAAGCTACATAGAGAAACCCTGTCTCGAAAAGAAAAAAACAAAAATAATACAGATACCTCCCAGTTTTGGTATGTGTTTGTAGTGACTTATGGGTGCCAAACAACACAGTTTATAAGGTCATCTTTAACTATGAGACCAGTCAGTGTACATTAGCTTCCCCGATTTTCTGTCTTCTTTGTTTGAGTGGGGAGGTCTGGCTCTTTTGCCTGGCTGGCATACAATTACTATGTGTAGACAGACTCATGTCCATCCTGTGATCCTTGTGCCTGTTTTTCTAGAGAACCCTGACAAATACATAGGCATAGACTATCATGCCTCGCTTCTATTTTCTTCCTAAGTAACTGCTATTTAGGATTATATTTCAAAAGAAAGCAAACCATAGGCTTTCTACAAACACAGAAGTATAATAAGTGAAAAACTTTTAAGCATTAAAAAGCATCTTTTGTTGTTTTGAGACGAGATCTCTATGCATCCCTGGCTGTCCTGGAACTATGTAGTCCTGGCTAACCTTCAGTTTACAGATATCCACCTGGCTCTGCCTTCAAAGTGATGGAATTAAGGTGTGCACCATTATACCCAGCCTAGAGTGAGTTTTTTACCCATAGTGGTTATTCATGTAATTCTGGGTTTGTTTTTCCTGAGACAATTTTGTCACTAAGAATGGGAAAGGATGAGGCACTTTGTGATGTTAATTTGTTTTCCAATAAAAATATACCATGCTCCTTGAAGCCATTACGGCAGGCTTTGCTTAATAGATATTTTAGAGGGCTTATCTGGGTCATTGATAATGGTACTAATATTTTCTCTGTTTTCTCTCTAGCTATCTTTTAAAAACAAAGACCATAGTAAATGCATCTGAAATGGATATTCATTATGTACCTCTACCAGAAAAGATTGCAGAGGTAAACTTGGTTGTGTAGATACTTAATATATACTACCTTTTAATTTTGTTTTTCTTTTGGAGATAGTATTTTACTTTGTAACTATGACTGGCCTCGTATTAACTATGTACATCAGGCTGTCCTAGAACTCAGCTATGTCCTTTCTGTTAATACAGGCAATTTTTAAGTATACATGCTTGTTACCACATTACTTATTTATTTATTTATTTATTTAGCTAGCTAGCTGCTGTCCCTCTACCCCCAAGACAGGATTTCTTTGTGTAGTCTTAGCTGTCCTGGACTCGATTTGTAGACCAGGTTGGCCTCGAACTTAGATCTGCCTACTCTGCTTCCCCTAGTGCTGGGATTACAGGTGTCCGACACTCCACCAAGCTTAAATTTCTTTTTAAATCTGGTAACTTTATAAGCAGCAAACTGAGTGAGGGTTGAGTATAAGATGCCCTCAATCTATGTCTCTTCACAGCTGAAAGAGAAGATAATGCTAATGCATACTCGGTTAAATTCATTGATGAAGACTCTGAAGGAAATGACCCCTGATCAGTCTAACCACAAAAACTGAAGACACAAGGTACAGAACTTTCTCCCTTCTTCGACAACATGGGTTGTTTGGTCATTTCTTCTTTCTTTTTTTAGGATTCGGTGTGTGTGTTTATGTGTGTAGGTGTGTGTGCTCAAGGAAGCCAGAAGGCATCATGGGATTTACTGGAGCTGGAGTTATAGGTAGTTGTTGAGCACTGGGAAATCTAAACTGTACAAAAGCTGGAAGCACACAGCTGATCCGTCTCTCTGGATAAGAAATCCCCACTGGTCTTTTTTAAGACAGGGTGTCACTGTATTTCTGGCTGTCCTAGAACTCAAAGGGACCTGCCTGCCCCTGCAGAGTACGGGGTTAAAGGCATGTACCATCACACCGCTTGGTCTTTTATTCTTTCAATACCACTAAGAACAGAAAGGACTGCCAGGTGTGATAACATGCACCTGTAGTCCAAGCACTTGAAATACAGAGGAAGAACTGAAGCTCAAGGTTATTCTTGGCTACATTTCCAATTTGAAGCCAGCCTAATCTTCATGAGGATCTGTCCCAGAATCCCAACTCCTCAGAAAATTGTCTGAGACTATGCCTTTGACCCTGTGCCTCCCCAGCTTACGAGTCTAGTCTTACTTAGGGGAGTATTTTTCTCTTTCTTAATAAACTGTGACTATTATTTTAAAAAACTTTATTTATTCCACAATATCTATCTCTGAAAATATCCTTCACTACTAATTACCAGTTAGCATGGGGTGTTCCTTTTATCCACTGACTTAAAGATGCACAGTTGGCCAGGATAAAGAGATGGGGTTGTTAGTGAAGGCACTTACACATGCCAGTTACATGAAAACTGATGAAGACTTGTTTGAGCCAGGTTCTCTCTGTGTAGCTCTGCTGTCCTGGAAATTTCTATGTAGACCAGGGTACCTTTGAACTTACATAGATCCGCCTACCTCTGCAGCCCAGTGCTAAAATTCAAGATGTACATCACCATGCTTGGCTCATGTAAAATAGATAGGTATACTGGGTAGTGGTGGTGGTGAATACCTTCAGTCCCAGCACTCTGACGGCAGAGAGGTGGGTGGATCTTTTGAGTGCAAGGCCAGCCTGGCCCACAGAGTGAGTTCTAGGACAGCCAAGGCTACACAGAAAAACCCTGCCTCAAAGAACAAAACTAGTAGCTACACACACCTGGAATCCCAGCACTCGGGGAGGCAGAGGCCTCCCAGAGGAGGATCTCTGGGAGTTTGAGGCCAGCCTGGTCAACAAAGAGAGTCCAGGACAGCCAGGGTTACACAGAGAAACCCTGTCTTAAAAAACCAAAACTACAACCCCCTAACTACATATATTACATGTATGTGTGTGTACACACATGCACACATATAGTACACATGTATATATTATGGACATATATACATGGGTATGTAATATGTTATATATATGTAATAAGTATCAATTGATAAATGAGCAAATTGCATAATAAACACTGTCTTTTTGCTATTGTTTTTAAATAGGTTTCACTGTGTAGTCCCACTTTGAAATATGTTATGTGGATCAGGCTGGTTTTGAAGAGAAATCCGCCTGCCTTTGTCTCCTAGATTCTGAGATTAAACATGTGCACCACATGCCTTTGTGCCTGCAGAGGCTGTAAGATCTGGAACTAGAGTTATAGGCAGTTAAGGGTGTTAGAAATTGAACCCCAGTTTTCTGCAATAGCAGTAACTGCTATTACCTGCCGAGCCATCTCTTCAGCCTCACAGAATGGAACCTAATATATTAATAATACTTTGAATCATTTTTGAGGCAGGATCTTTCTCTGTAACCCAGACTTGCTGCTAACACGGCAATTCTCCTGCCTCAACCTCCTGAGTGCCTAGTGGGCTACCATGTCCAAGTGTGGATTTTTAAAATACATATAAGTGCATTTACCTTAACATTAACATACTTCCTTTATCACTGTTTAAAAACTGTTACTGTCATTGTGTGTATGTTGCTGGGGTCTCACACACAGTTGGTAAAGGCCCTGCCACTCAGCTACATCTTTAATTAAACTATTTTAAGAAACTTCTGGGTTTGCCATGTTGAATGAGACTTTCTATAGAAAATTAAGTGCTTAAGCCTGACTCAGATTAAGCTGGGCATCACATCTGTGTATTTACATATACATATTTATGTATATATCCAGGAAATATATTTTCCTTACAAAATAGATGCCCCCTGTAGAAAAATTCAGTTTTGTTGCAAATATTTCCCTTCCTTTTTGGAAAAAAAAAAAACATTTTGTGCATCTGGAGGTCAGATGACAACTAGGAGTCATTTCTGCCCAGAGGATTGAACTAAGGTGGTCAGGCTGGTGGCTCAGCTCCTTTACCTGCTCAGCTGACTTGCTGCTTCTTTCTTTTTTATTCTTAACTTAGGTTTTTCCCTGGCTTTTTAAATTACACTTGTGTGGGGGCATGTATTTGCCATGGCCCACATGTGGCATCGGGGGCTTAATGTCAAATGCCTCTACTTCTGAGCCATCTCACTGGTACCCACTTCCATTTTTGAGAGGCACAGTATAACATGCTGCTAAGTGAGCAGATTTTAGAAAGAAACCATTGATATTCAGACTGTGTTCTAATTGTTATTAGTCATGAAGTTGAAGAACTAACTAAACTATTTTGTTTCTGTGTAAAATAGGAGTAAAAACAGTAGCCAAGCCTTTGTTGAGGATTATTTGAATTAATACTGGAACAACTGGTTAACCCCATGAAAGAAAAAATAAATTGAATGCTGTCCTATGAAAATCAATCCAGGCAGTGTAAAGATCTGCATGTTGAATGTGAAGATAGAACCCTGAAGAAAAGCTTCATTATCTCACAGTAGAAGAAAGTTTCTTAAGCATTGCTCCTTTGAAGACAACAGAACTTTAAAATATAGAATTGCAACTAAAGCAACATAGAGTGAAAACCTGAGCCAAAGCAGAAAATGTCACATATAAACAACAAAAATGCAAAATACAGAAACTATAGACCAACTGCTATACATCAGGACAAGTAACCCACTTACAAAATGGCAGAATATTTGTGCAAGCATTTTAGAGAAGACACTGGGCTGAGGAATATGACTCAGGTAGAATACTTGCATTGCATGCACACAAAAGCTCCCACACTACAGGAAAAGGCTAAGCTTTGAGAAGTGTTACCCAACTTCACTACTAACAACCAAAAAATAAACACCAAATTGGTAAATTTTAAAACATACCATGTAAAGACAAGGAAGAACCTCTGTAAACTAGTACAAGTAACACCATGGTATACAACTAGAGGCCATCTAGCATTGCTTATAGAAACTAAGGACATACAATGACTACTGCAGATCAGCAACTTAACCTCTAGGCACCTGTATCAAAAACATGCAGCAGGCTTTCGACAACGTGAACACAGCAGGCTCACAGTCGCATTGTTTGTGATGGATAACCCCGTCATGTTTCTGTAATAGTGTGACTATGACAGGAGGAACCCCACGTTTGTGATGTGGCCAGGCATGGCAGAGCTCTCACTAGTGCAGACTATTGTAGTCCTTGTTATTGGTGTTCCTTCTGCGGGTTTTTGTTAAACTAAATGTTTCATGCCATTTTCATATCTAACTTGAAAGAAAATAAACCATTAAGCATTCAAGTAAAAGGTGTAATGTAGTAAATAAGTGCTCAGTGAAATCTAGCCGTTGCCATGGATGCGGTGGCCTTTATCTGTAATACTAACACATCTGAGGCTGAGACACAAGGCAAGCCTGACTAGAGTGACATCTGTCTCCTACTCTCTAAAGGAGCCTTAGGTCTCATGGTTGACTCTGTAACACCTGTATACATGTTCCCAACTGTCAGAGAAGGACTAGGGCTCGAGGGCCTTTTATTCCCTGAGGATATATATATAATTTATGGGGGCAAGAAAGACATTTTCTTTGGTGGTGTAGACACTGGTAAAGTGCCCACGCTCCCGTAACTAATGAAGCTCACAAAAAACATGAACGCAGAAGAGGAGCTATGGGCAAAAGGTAACTGGGATGTGGGAGATGTATGATCTAAATACAGTATATGAATGTGTATATATGTGTGTGTCTATGTCACAAAATCCTTTGTGTATGTTAATAAACACTTTTAAAAAGATACATGTCTTTTTGAGCCTTTGGTAGCCTGGGTGGTTCAGGGACGCGGCTGTTGGCTTTTCGACTGGAAGAGAGGAACCTTGAGCTCAAAGGTTCTGTTTCTCTCAAGAATGGCTAGAGCACTCTCGGTGAGGCCCAGGTGCTGGATGGGCAAGGCTCCTGGTCTCAGCAGAGGAAGTGGAAATGAGTTTTTCACTGGGTGTTAAGTTAGCTCTTTTAAATAGATGGAAGGTAGCAGGTGTGGTGGAACACGCCTGTAATCTTAGCACTCTGAGAGGCGGAGGCAGGCCATCCTTGTGAGTTCAAGGCCAGCGTGGTCTAAAAAGTCCAGGACAACCAAAGATACACAGAGAAACCCTGTCTTGAATTAAGGGAAAAAGAAAAGATTGCAAGTATCAGAAGGTGGGAGTTGCAAAAGCCTTTGATACCACAGTGCTGCAGCCCTTTGTTAAGCAGCTGTATTATGGGCAGGGGTGTGGGCAAAGGCAGAAACAAGGCCTGGTGGGGGCTTCTCTGCTGGGCAGCCCCAACCTGTCGGGCAGGCTCAGTGGTGACCAAGGTAGATGTCGCCTAGCCAGCAGCCAAGCCCCAGCAGTTTTCACAGAGGGGAGGCCTTTCCCCAGAATAAATGTCTACTCTCAGTCAGGAAAAGCTGATGGTAGCAAGCAGCACATTTATTTCACGTGAAATCAGGACTTGGGCAGTGGGAGAGGTTCTGAAGGTGAATGTGTTAGATTTTCTGGGGCTAGTGATGCCAGGGATACTTGACTCAATACAGCAATACAGCCTATCATAAGAGGGGAAAGTAGTCCTTAATTATCCTATAGGTAGGGGAAGAACTTCAGCTATGGCTAAAGGTCATTGGTTGAAAACCAAGACACCAAGATATCTATCTCATTAGCATAGGGTTGGTGGGTGTTTCCAGGAATCCCCAGCTGCGTGCTTCTCAGGGAAGAGTTGGGTTTATAATCTCCCGGAAGGCTATGTGATTCTTCTCAGAAGATCTTGGGGTTCCCCAGATTAAGCAGAGAGGGAGTCAGCCATATTATACTGAGCTCAGAGGCTATCGGGAAATGTCAGATTTCAACCTTAATGGCAGGGTCCAAAAGATACATTTCTTTTGGAGCATGCTTTGTTTATATAGGAGTGCTGAGATAGATGCATTTTATAATTCCACTTGACCCTGTAAAGAACTTTAAGACCCAACCCCACATACATACCAGAAACATGCTGATATCCTAACAAGGTTTGATGGAGGTCCATGCCACACAAAACTGAGTAACAGGCCTGAGCCATATCAAGGCTTGAAGAATGGACATGTCACAGGTATGGATGCCGGTATCTTACATGGAACCTCTGGAATTTACTAGTAAATTTTGCTCATCACTGTGCTGAAAATCCTCAAGTCCTTTAGCAGTTGGGTAATAAAGCCAATTGTTTGTTTCTCTTTGACAACAGCCCATCTTGAAGTTTCTAACCTCTTTCTTTACCAGGGGGTAGGGGAACACCTCGTCCTTTCCAGTAATTAATTACAGGGATCTACTTCTGGACGGAGGCTTGGGCCCCAGGCTAACTTCAGACCTGTACACTCAGGTTCTGAACTGATCCTGCTTCCACCTCCCAAGTGCTAGGGTCACACATGCACATCACCATGTCCAGTCTGCAACCTGTGTTTACATTTATTCTTTGTGCAAGTGTGGAGTCAGATGACAAACTTGTAGGAGTCACTTTTTTTCCTCCAATGAGGGTCCTGAAGATCAAACCCAGGTCAAGCTAAGCAACAAATGCCTTTATCTGCTATTTTATGCTCCCCTCCCACTTTTAAATGTGTTAAATCTTGTTAAGTAACCAACCCAGTGCATCTTGAAAACGACCTCAGCTCTCGACTTTAGCGTCATTTTCCCTGTACAAACGCCTGTGCCAGGAGTAAATGGAAGCAGCAAATTTGAGCACCCATTGGGATACAAGAGCATAACTGAGAATGCTGGAGCCAGTGGGACAAGTGGTTGCTATGCTGCTGTCACTGACCTGTCTCAAAGGACATGCAGCTTCACCATGACTGAAGACCAACCCTGAGAAAGTCTTCGTTCAAATCAAACAGTCCCTGATAGCCCTCTGCCCAACACCTGGGATCCTGGCCCAGTTCTTTTCCTCCCTTCTTTCCCCCCCAAGACAGGGTTTCTCTGTGTAGCCCTGGCTGTACTGGAACTACCTCTGAAGACCAGGCTGCCCTCAAACACAGAGATCTGCCTTCCTCCGCCTCCCAAGTCCTGGGATTAATTTAATGGCACCACCACTGCCCAGTTTTCCTTACCAGAAACTAAGAATTTATCCAGATGAAGTGTAAGGTGGTCCTTGAAAGGGAAACAAGCTTGGTTAAGTTAAAATGCGATGTTCCTTCTCTTCAGATGGTTATATTACCACTGAGCAGTACAGAGCAAAAACTACCACAAGTATTAAACCCAGGAAAAAACAAAAAAAAAACAAAGAAAACCCTGACATGGTGATACACAAATTTAATCTTAGCATCACAAGGCAGAGGCAGGGAGAGCTCTGTGAGTTCAAGGCCAGCCAAGGTCACCTTGTCTCAACTCCACTCCCCAGCCCACCACCAAAAAGAAAACAGACACCTAAAACCTACTTTAACCAGGCCCATGGAAAGGCTGCTTTTTCCATTGTAATAATATTACCTGAAATTACCCATTTCAAAGTAGCAACACACAATGAAGTTTCAGTGCATTCTCAGCTCATGCTTTATTGCTAAAAATATATACATACAGGTGCAGTTTCAGGCTCTCATAACAGTTCCTTTTCCAAGGAGTCAAATTTCTTCAAAACTCCCAAAGATGCATAGATTAAGAAGCTGCCTTTTGTAGTGTGCTTGACACGTTCAATGAAGCTCTTTAAACATCACCTCATACACTGATGGCGCAATGGAAGGTACAAGGAAGAGCAAGCTAACAGTGACACCTGTGCTTGAAGGGCAGAAAACTCAACATTCTCTCCAGTAGATTACTTTAATATTGTTAATTTTTCCTCACGAAAGGGATGGCTGTGTTTAAGGTTAATGCCCAGATTAGAAATGTTGCTTAAAGACTGACAAAACCCTGACAGATTACTAGTGTGCTCCTTGGGGTAAGGTGCTGGTGCTGGGCACTCGCCCCAGGGCACAAGTGTTCTCCAAGAGCTATATCCCAAGCACAAAAGCATATTTAAATTAAGGACACAGCACACCACTACCAAAGGTGTCAAAATGTTTTGAAAAATCACCAGTAATCATAACCATATTCTACTTTTAAGGTGTTTTATAAGTGTGAGCTCTACCAAATATCCATCTAATCTTCCTGTGTGATGTTTTGACTTTAGGAAGAGAATGCTAGAAGGAAGAACTTTGACCTTACATCTTTATTGGCTGGTATGTGGCAAAGAATATTTCTATGTTGGATACATCCTATACCTCAATTCCTGTGTTTCAGTGGAAAGCAAACATCACACTGACAACTCTAGTTCCAAAGGATGGAACATACCTTTCTAATTGAAATCCTTAACAAAGTACCACAACAAAAAAAAAACACAAAATAAATTTGAAACTGTTTTTCCATCACATAACATGTAAATTGGATTGAACCCAGTGAAGGTTTTATCTGAATTCTATTTAGGCCTTTCAGACATTATAAATACTTATTATTTGTCAAAACAATTTGTTATTTGGATCATTTCAAAGTCACGAAATTCTTATGCAACCCATGAGGTTTTTTTGGTAGTGCTGGCAATTGAGCCCATTCTCTTAAGCGTTCTGCCACTAGATCATACTTCTGCTCCTTTTGCTGCTATAACAAGCTGATGTTCATTCAGGCAAACAAATGTCTTTTTTGGAAGAGAAACTTGTCCTGTTCATCAAGTTTTAGGCATGATACAAACTTTGACCAACTCTTCTAAAGTAAAACCCCAGCTTCACAGGTGTAAAGTCAGCCACAGGCGCAATCAACGGAACAATGGCAGGGCTTCTGCAGCTCTACAAAGACCCTCCTGCTGCAGCTCCCTGCTGACAGTCAGCACCTTCCAGGGCAGATGCCTCAGGACTGAAGAGCAGCGACATGGGCCCTTCACTTCCAAGACACTAGCTTTCCGTGAGGGAGTCTGGCTATCGCACTCAGGCTGGTTTCTGCCTGTTCGGGAACCGCAGACCATGCATCTGGCTCAATCTATAGTTTTAGGAAACCCCAAATTTAATCTACATAAATTTAATCAGGTAAGCACCACAGCTATTTGTTTTACACTGACTACTGTTGTTTCTGAAGGAAGATGACCCTACTTAGCCTTTCCCCACTCTTCTGAACCCTGCACCTTCCTGATGACAGCAGCTTGTGCAGCATGCTCAGTTTATCTTTTATGCAAACATGCTTGGGAATAAATAGAGCTAGGAAACAGAGTCAGCACTACTTGCTGTGTTCCTAACAGTTTGAATGTCTTGTGGTTGCCCCTTGTTTATCTTGTACTTCCAATTTTCAATGGAAGTAAGACAATCTTTAATTAGAAGATAAAAATAAAACCAAGCTATTGGCTTAAGTATCTATTGCTTCATTATTGATAAATGCATATATAAATTTACTACCTAACAATGAAAAATTTCAGCCATGCATTAGAATGTTAGCATTCTGGAATCAGTTATGGGCCTGCCACTATTGCTTACATATTCAACCAGGCCTGGTTTTAATAAACACGCAAACCCTTTGATTCAGAACCATGGGAAAAGCAATGACACATGCAAAACTTCAAATGAATATGTCAGATTCTTTACAGATGCAGTCAGGTACTCCATTATCTACTACAATGGTGCTTCAAAACAAAAAAAAGTCATACACAAAAAGGCTAAACTTAAGACTTCTATTTAGCCC